TGGTTCAGTGGTTAAGACTATGCACTCCCAAGGGGGCAGGGGTTTGAGTCCCTGGTTGGTGAACCAAGTTCCCACATTTAAAAAAACAAAAAGCATGCTATAGAATTGAGGGGAAAAGAGAGGCCCTCTCCTAGTCCCTGCCAAACCTTCAAAGTTGCTACTTTTCCACCTCAACTGAGGTTCATGAGGTTCATCTATACCAGGGGTCAGTAAATTGTTTTCTGTAAAAGGCCAGATGGTAAATAGGTTCTGGGAGCTGGTCTCTTTTGTACCTTCCCAACTCTGCAGGGCACAGGAAGCCACAGAAGAGACCAGCATACCTGTCTGATTTGGTCCCAGATCCCCACAATAAAGCAAATATCACAATGAAGTGAGTCATACAAATTTTCTGGTTTCCCAGTATGTATTGAAAAGTTATATTTACATTATACTTTAGTTTATTCAGTGTGCAATAGCATATCTTTAAAAAATGATGTGTATACCTCAGTTTAAAAATACTTCATTGCTAAAAAATGCTAACCATCATCTGAGCCTTCAGTGAGTCATCTTTTTGCAAAAGTAACATCAATGGATCACCCTAACACAATAAAAATGAAAAAGTCTGAAATACTGCATGGCGTATCAAAATGTGTCACAAAGACATAAAGTAAGCAAATATTGTTGGAAAATGGCACCAATAGACTTGCTCAATGCACTGCTGCCACAAACTTCCAATTTGTAAAAAAAAAAAACAAAACACAATAAAGCAAAGAGCAATATACTGATCTACACCTGAACCTAAGTGAATGAGTGTGGCTATGCTCCAATAATACTTAATCTCCAAAAACAAGCAGTAGGCTAGTCTTTGTCTGTGGGCCATGGTTTGCTGGCTCCTCTTTGCTGTGACCTGTGCTGTTCCCGGAACCTGTACATTTATCAAGAATTTGGCCTCCGACTCACAGTCTTCATCGCCAGCCTAAGGAACAAAGTGCAGTGCCAGGCACCTGATAAGCATTCTATAATATGGCTGCAATTATTATCTTTGAAAATGACCCCATGGACACTGTAATTAGCTTTGCGGTTGACCACCCAGCACTTTAAAGCCTCTCAGTTTCTTCACCTGCTTAACTCTCATACCGTGGACTTTGTCATCTAGAGCCCTCTGTCTCTCAGATCAAATACCTAACAGACACTGATCACTCTCACTCCTTTTATACTTGCTCTCCAACCTTAGGGAGCCTCCAGTCCACTTGTCCCTCTTGTCTCCTAAACCCTGAATACTCACTGGAAGGGCTGAAACTGAAGCTCCAATACTTTGGCCACCTGATGCAAAGAGCCAATTCACTGGAAAAGACCCCGATGCTGGGAAAGACTGAAGGCAGAAGAGGACAACAAAGGATAAGATGGCTGGATGGCATCACTGACTCAATGGACATGAACTTAGGCAGACTCTGGGGGATGGTGAGGGACAGGGAAGCCTAGCATGCTGCAGTCCACGGGGTCACAAAGAGTCAGACACACAACTTGTCGACTGAATGACAACAATAGCAAAGAGTCGGGCGTGACTGAGCGACTAACACTTACTTACTTACTTAGTCTCAGAAAGAGTTGGTACTACTTCAATCTACCAGAAATGATCTGGATCTCTGTCTGTCCCTTCTGCTTCACCAATACTATTGTACAAAAGCTAAATCCACAACCAATCCAGCCATATGTCTTCCTTCACTGCCTGTTAACCATGGATATGGTTCTCATCCTAAGGTTCCCCATCTTCAAATGGGTGATATCCTTTCAAGACTGTTGCATGCTATGAGTTTAACAGGCCTAAAAGTGCTCGACATAAGGTAATCATTCCATAAATGGTAGCAATGTTCTTATGCTAAATCAATAGCTTAAGAAGAAAGGTGGATGACAAAAAAAAAAAATGCGATACAGATTTGGGGAGCTGCAGGAGCGAAAGGGGAGAACATCTGGAAAGAAAAAAGGAGAAAATTTCCCTTGTCATAAAATGTCCCAATCCTTCTGTGAATATATTCAGTTGCTTTGTGAATTACTGGTAACCAAATGTATGGTTATTCTTTACTAACCTCACTGGTCTGGAGCCTGAAGTTTCTGTGGTAGAACACTCTCCAAGGGCAAGATTTGCTCCAGAGTCTAAGTCTCTGTCAGGAGAGAAAACTAACAAATCTTCTTCCTTCTATTAATCTAGACTTACAGTGATATTGTTAAAAAGGAATTATGATGGGGGACTTCCCTTCTGGTCCAGCTAAGTCCGAGCTCCCAATGCAGGGGGCCCAGATTTGATCCCTGATCAGGGAACTAGATTCCACATGTGAAACTAAGAGTTTAGCCATTGAGAGTGTTAAACAAAAGTATTCAACTAGTGATTCCATGACTGAGGCAGAAGCTATTCAAGGTGAAAGCCTAGGACATCTTGTGCCAGAAAGCATAGAAGTGCCCCCAAATTAACGTGAATATTGGGGGGGAGTGCATGAAAGGGTGTCAAAGAGACAGAGAGGCTGGACTGCAAGCGGTTCCCACAGGCCAAATTTGGGAAAATTTGAGCAACAAAAAGAACGATGATGGTGATGGAATCTAACCCCATTCACTTTTTTTTAATGAGATAATTAGAAAATCATCACTTTGCATCCTTCCAAAGGCAGAGTTCATTTTCATGTTGCAAAAAACACTGGGTGAAGTGTTAATGGGTTACAGAATATCTGCATAGTTTCAAACTATTACTCCACAGATTGCTTAACTTTTAATTACAAAAATTACAAAGGGAAATTATAAAAGGAAAAAAATGAGCCTTTACAATGGAGATATCTGGCAGTCACCTCCTTAATCAAGTGCTCAAACAGCATCAGCAATAAAGAGCAACCTGATATTATGTGGCTGCTGATGCAGTAAGAAGCACATAGCATCGTCTGTGTAGTATACCCAAAAGCTTATAAACTGAATTAACGGAGAGAAAGCAATCAGACAATTAGTCCACAGTCTTATTACTCAAAAGTGGTCCAAAGACCAGAATGCCATCACCTGGGAGCTTGTTCAGAAGACAGAATCGCAGATTCCACTTGGGACAAGTGAATCATAATTTGCATTTTCAACAGATCCTCAAGTGACTCTGAGATACAAAGTATGAGAAGCCCTGAACAAGACAAACCACCTAGACTTTATAAAAAATCAATGTCATAAAAACAAAAAAAGGCAGAGAGGCCTGCTCTGGATTTAGAGACATGAACAGCCAAAAGCAGTGAGTGAATCTTGACTGAATCCTGGGTAAGAGAAAAATGTTTTAAAATACATATTGAGGGAACTGGGAAAATTTGAATATGTGGTCTTTACTAAAATGACACTGAATTAATGTTAAGGTTCTTAAATGTGATAACAGCGTTTAGTTACACAGAATGTTCTTATTCTTAGAAGATACAAGGAGTTCCCTGGTGGTCCAGTGGTTAGGACTCTGTGCTTTCACTGCCATGGCTTGAGTTCAATCCCTGGTTGGGGAACCGAGGTGCAGCAAAAACCAAACAAACAAAAAAAGATACATACTGATATATATGTCTACAACTTACTTTTAAATAGTTCATAAAAACACATAGAAAACATATGTGGAATAATAACTGGTTATTCTAGATGAAGAGTATGTAACTGTCCATTGTGGGTTTTTGTGGGTTTTTTTTTACTTTTTTTTTAGGTAGAAAATTTTATAAAATAAAAAATTGGAGGATGGGAAGAATATTCAACTAACCCACAACAGAAACGGTTAAGTCTTTACGAGCAAACAGCATGATTTACACAATCCTGCATCTATCTTAACACTTACTTCAGAAGATACACTTAAGTGTTCAGCAGATGTTGGATGAGAGAAAGAAATTTGTTTAAATCAGTTTAGTTGGCAGAAATTCCCAAGGCATTAATAGCTGCTACAGCCAGTCAGCTGTCAAGTACATACAGAACTACAAACTAAATTTTCATTCAATGAGAGGCAGAAGAGTGTAAAGCAAAAATGTGGGGGTTACTCTGACCTAGATTTTATTAGTGGAGCATTCTGGGGCAGATTTAACCTTGCAAAGTCTCAATCACTCTATCTGTAATACAGAAATAAACCAACATCTTACAGGGTAGTGTAAAGATGAAATAAGATATAAGATAATGAATATAAAATTCTAAGCATCATTTAATAAATGTTAACTATAATTTTATCAATAAAGTCAGCTAAAAGATATTCCATAAAATGAACATAATGTTTTCAAGGACCCAATTTTGACTTTATTCTGAGGATCAAAGGTCTTCATATTAGCATTTTCTGACAATTTTTAGTCAAAGTGAGAAGGCAGAACACTTTACACTTCTCCTTGTTATTTGGTATTTGGAGAAAGAGCATTCAGTAAGATGACAGGCAGCCTCCCTCCAAGATAAAAGCATTTTACTTCAACTTAATCTTAGTAAACCAGCATAAAATACTGAAGATTAGCAAAATACATCTATTAAGAATGACTTCAAGAATAAACAAATTCAATATGAAGAAGACTTGGAAATAATTTTGTCAAGTTATCTTACTCTCTTGACTAGAAAACTTATGAGAAACCTATGTTTTCATGGAATTTTATTAAAAACATCTTTTGAAAGCACTTACACAAAGAGTAACCATCTATCTTTTTGGCTTAAGAGCACTTGTGCCCAGATGAAATAGAATTGAGCTCAACAGATGGATGATAGTCTAACCCAATTATTCTATGAAAGTCTAAAGCAATCTCTCCTAAGGTTTGGCAACTATGGCCAGCCGAAAAAATCCAGCCCATGACTTATTTTCATGAATACAGTTCTACTGTATTCATTTATGTATTGTCTATGGCTGTTTTCACTACAACAGCAGAGTAGAAAAGTTGCATCAGAGACATTACGGCCCACAAAATCTAAAACATTTACTATCTAGTCTTTTAAAGAAAAAAACTGTCAACCTCTGCTCCAGACAAGCAATCCAAGAATGAAGTTAAGACCTGTCCCAGACTCACCTGAGGTGTCGTCTTTTTGTATTGGTCACCTCCATCTATCACATCCCTCATTATTTTTTCCTTGAGAAATTCATACTCTTCTGAACTCAGGTGAATAGACTCTACAGTTTTTCCACAGCCCAAACATTGACCACTGTAATTACAATTGAATATGTTAAAGAATGTCCCGAGAAAGAACTTTTTCTAAAATGAATATTCTAGGACATGAGAAAATTGGAAGGTAATTTAGAAAAAGAACGCCATAACCTTTGCGATTATCATACACATCTCATTTTTTGTAACCCAGACAATATAACAAATTAGTGTCCCAGAAAAACCCAAAAGAGTAGACTGCTGACCTCCAGATAAAGTTTTTAAGGTCGTTCTTAAAACACAATGGGGCCCAAAAACATAGGGAAAACACGTCAGAGGAATCACATCAGGCTCACAGCACCTACCAAGAAAACTATTTTGGATACTGCAAATTCTCCAAATGTGAAATATGACCTTTTCGGCAATCCAAGTAACTTAATCTATCCTATTATTAAGATGTTCTTAAATTCTTTTTAACCAGTAGCAACACAACCTATTAACCTGAACTGAACAGATTAAAAATAAAACATTGGTCTTTACCTTTGCTGGATTGTGATGAATTGTCCTTTCCATTGTTCTCCAGGAACACTACAAAAAAAATTGCAAAACCAAATCACCAAAGAGTCAAATCCCTACTGAACAGATATTAACTGTAGGAAAGAGCTCTGAAAGGTTTGGGATATTTTCTTAGAACAGTTCAATTAGAAGAGTGGATGCTTAGACAGTGATGGTACACTACTCTGGATCTCCTCTTTGCTTCTTCTCATCATCTGACCCTCATCTTTAAGTCTAAATTTATCTTCACAGGACCTACCCAGAAAGAAGCTGTAACTTCTACACAAAACTCAACTCTAGGGACTTCCTTGGTGGTCAAGTGGCTAAGACTGCACTCCCAATGCAGGAGGCCCAGGTTCTATCCCTGGTCAGGGAACTAGTTCCCACACGCTGCAACTAAGACCCAGCACAGCCAAATTAAAAGAAAAAACTCAACTCTAACCTTCTCCATAAAGCTGCCAGAGATCGTTCGTGACCCAGAGTCATTCTCTCTCTTACACTATCAAATTTTATATACCACTCTTAGATAACTGTCTACTATTGCAGTCCCAATTAGGTCATGAATGCCATTATAATAGATCTTACATTACAAAACACCCACAGTGCTGAGTCTAAAACTGGAGACATTCAAAACTACTTATTCATTTATTTGCTCAATCAACTTATCCTTTCTTCTTTCCTCTTTCATATACTACCATCAATTCTTTTTGCGGGGGGGGAGGCTGTGAAGGGTCTTCGATGCTGCATGGGGCTTTTCTCCAGTTGCAGCGAGCACGGGATACTCGCTAGTTGCAGTGGGCAAGGACGTCTCGCTGTGGTGGCGTCTCTTGTTGTGGAGCATGGGCTCTAGAGTGCGCAGCATCAGTAGTTGCGGCGCATAGGCTCTAGTTAGTTGTGGTGCAAGGGCTGAGTCACTCTGCAGCAAGTGGGATCTCCCCAGATCAGGGATCCAAACCGTGTTTCCAGCACTAGCAGGCGGATTCCTTACCACTGAGCTACCAGGAAAGCCTCATGATTCCTATCAATTCCACGGCCTTCTCTCCTTTCTCAGTTCTTAATCCAAGATCTCATCATCCCTTCCTCAAATCTACAACTGCCTCCAAACAGATTTCCCTGTTTCAAATCTTAACCCCTCTCCAATCTTCTTTTCTCACTACTTTGGCATCATCTTTTAAAAACTACTCCAAGACCAGCATTCTTGATAACAGAATAAAATCCAAAATCCTTGGCCTTCAAAGACTGTCACTATCTAGTTCCTCTGCAGATATTCAATAAATGTGGTAAGAAAGATAATTAGGCATGATTGCTACCGCAAAGCTCTGTAAAAATAACATATAGTAGAAAAGCAAGAGAAAAACAGAGATGAAAGGAAAGAACCTGTAGGAAAACGCCTGAAGTAAATTAGCAGTAAAGTAATAAAGAACAAAAGACCATCATCAAGCTGATAACATGAAGGAAAGCAAAGAAGAGAGTTTTGGAGAGAATAGTCAAATATGGTATGATCAAAACCAGGACGGATGATGATTTTCTTTTTTAACGCATATGAGGTTTAAGCAGGATCCCTCCCTCTGCTCTAACTACTCAACTTGGTGAAATGCAGACAGTAAACAGAATATATATGTGCATTATATACATTATAACAATCACAACTAGGTTTCAGAAGAACTTCTGAAAATAGTAATTTGACCCAAAGACAGCTCCAGTTTTCTTGTTATGAACTCCAGCCACAAGTGCTATTTATAAATACTCCTATACTAGACAATTCAGAAAACAAATGAACCTTCTAAAAGGAAAAAATGCATAAAAACAGCAAGTGTTCTATAATCTCCCTTTTATGTGATGAACAGAGATTATCACAACAGGTTTTTCAAAGAGAAAGAAAACTGTCTTAAAGGGGAAACAATCTTACTAAGAGAAAAAAGTATAATCTGAATAGAACAATCCTCAGCAACTAATTAAAAAAAAAAGAAGCTACTTTTAGGTATCAGTATTAAAATAAAAATACACATATAAACAAATCAAAATTACCTCTCAAACCATGTTTTTATACTGTGTGCAAATGACTCCCCAGGATAAAGTTGATTATTTCTTAGATACAAAAGAATGTTGTGCAGTTTGTTTGAATATTGATCATCTTTCATGTCTTTTCCAAAATCAAAGAAGGCTTTTAAAGTTTCCAACATAGGAACAATATCATGACTTAACAACTCCTGATACAAATTCCAAGCTACATTTACATCTTGATGAAACAGGGCTCCCTGAATACAGTCATCATAGTTCTTTTTTGAAGGAATCATGACTTTTTTGAGGTCCTCTAACAGCAGCAAGGCCTCTCTCCATCTGTCTGTATACATTAACCCCCGCATGAGAAGAGTGTAGGCTCCAGATTCTAAACGCTTGTATCTGGCTTTCATGATTTCATAGACATCAATAATTTCTGATGTCTGCTTATGAAAAACACAGAGATACAAATACTTGACCAGTAAATCATAACCTACAATACCATTGTTTTTTGTAGCTACCCAGGCCAGCACAGATTTGGCCACATCTAGAGAGCTATGGCTTTTAACCATCTGCAAAATTATCCAATTTTCAAAGTTAGCCTTTTCTTTGAACTCTTCCTTAAGTTTATCCCACTCCTCTGAATTCAAAGGTTTTGTCGGGAGCTGAATAATGTTCTTCACAGGTGGCAAGACAGGAGCTTTACTAGAAGGATTCATCTGTGATCTCTTCTTAGCCGCTCCAGCTGCAAACATGTGAGAAGAATCAGCAGAAACTTGCTTATTACTACCCTCATCTAGTTTTCTGACACATCTGGCCTTGGCAATCAGCAGGTTCAATGCTTTGGTATTTTGTGCAGACATCGTTTTAACAGAAAACCACTTCTCTTGATTCCTGATGCCGTAACAGTCTTTGAGAAAGAGAGAGAGGTAAAAGTTACTTGAACTTAGCCCAAGGTATGAGTTGCTCTTCCAAAGCTTAGGCAAGCTTCGAATACCAGTGAAATAGAAAGTCATTATGCAATTAAGTCAGCACTAGATTGTGAAAAAGATGTTCAAAAAGCTCCAACTTCTGCAGGCTGGTGGCTGGGGGCGGAGAATCGAAGGGCAACTTTCTACAAGGCGATTTTCAGCTTCTCACAAATGCTTTGGGGGCTAGCAGCAACGAAGCTCGGTTGAATTCTCTCCATTAAACAAGGGTATGGGGATATCCAACCTATCTCGCAAGTTCCAGGACTAGGAGACAGAGCAGGAATCCTCTGCCGCCTCTTTCATTCCAGTCAGCGAACCTGAGGGAAAAAGCACAAAGACCCGCCAGCTGACTCACGCGGACCACCACTCTTCTTGAAAAGGGGCAGGAACACATGGGAGATAGGCTGCATAAGGCGCGAGGAGCCGGGAGCCTACCTCAGGCCCACCCGTAGCCAAGGTAAAGGCGGGCCCTGGCCGCCAAACTCTTCACATAGGGGAATGAGAGGGGGCGGTGAAGACAGCCGAGCCAGAGACAAGAGAAAGGAAGAGAAGTCCCCGAGGGCACCGCCTCTGCGTACGGGTCGGTCACAAACGGAGTTCACTAGATTCAATCACCCACCTCATCACTCACGCTGTGTGCAACCATTAGCGGCGAAACTACGGCCCCCACAATGCACCGCGACGGCCCCTGCCGCGGAGGCGTGGCTAAGCTGGTCGCAGGCGTTCCGTCCGCCCTGGAGGCGAGAAAAAGGGCGACTTGTGAAATTTTAGTGGCAGGAGAGGGCACGGGCGGCTGCCGAACCCACCTGTTACATTCAGGGAACATTTAAAGCCTCCAGATATCCGCAATAAACAATGAAAAGAAACTGAAATTAGAAAGCTCTTCCATCCAGCCGGAGGAGCCAAAGGAACCCCTGGGTCACGTGGTGCACAAGTGCCACAGGGCCAAGATGAAATAAAAGCGCCGGCTCCCTTATCCGGCGCCTTTAGAATCATGCATGGTGAGGCTGGCAAGCTGCTTTAAGGAAGCAGCTTTTCTTCATGTCTGGCCTCCCTGTTGTGACCGCGTCCGTACCGTTAGCCAGATCGTGGTATTCCCCGCAGTGGCCTCTGGGATCGATTTACCCCACTTCCGCCCGCGTCCAAGATGGCAGTTACGCGGCCTTCACGACTTTTTACGGGACTGGTTGGTGTTGACGCCGGAGCTGGCAGGGGGTGGAGCGGTTAGTAAACAGCAAATGCGGGAACTGGTGGGCCGGAATCAGCCATGGACTGGAAAGAAATTCTTCGCCGGCGGTTAGCGACGCCCAGCACCAGTCCAAACAGTGAGTTTGGGAGGAGCCGCCCGCTGAGAGATCCTGGCCCCAAACACCGGGAGCTGGGGGGACGATGGATGGGGAGGAGCAGCACCTTAGGTAAAACCTCTCCTGACTAAAGAGGCTGACTGGGATGTGGTTCAGCGATCCAGAGGGGTTTGACCTACACTTCTCTGGGAAGGGATTTGCAGAAATGAAAAGCTACCTAGACACTCGCTTGGTCCTGATCTAGACTTGTGAGGGATGATTCAAAGTCGCGGCGCCAACAACCCTTAGATCCTACCGGAACCTATACTCCGTTGCTCTTACCGCCTTTTTATTGTCACACTTTTTACTTCCCTCCTTGCCTGTTTTAGACTTCATAATCCGTTTTTCCTTGTCTCTTTCCCTCTACTTCACACTTGTTGGCTAATCAGTCTGGTTAAAACTATCATTCCTATTCCACACCTCCATCCAGGGCAGCTGAATTGTCTCACTTTTGATTCATGTCCACTAGCCTAAAGTACATGTTTCAGTCACTCAACTACACTTCTTTCGTGTGTCCCTAGACACTGACTCTCCTACACTCCAAGGCAGTTCCTCCTCTCACCTCCCAAACCTCCAATCCTCCAGTATGTCCTATCTGCTCCTTTTTCTACTCTCCCTCACCTGCTATTCCCTCTGGCTCATTCTGCTGTAGCTTCACTGGCTGCCTGCCCCTTCCCTGCATCCACCAGGCATACTCCCATTTTCGTGCCTTGGCACTGGCTGTTTCTTTTGCCTGCAATGCTCTTCTGCTTGGATATCTGTATACCTTCTTAAATTTTTTTGTTGTTCAGTTTTATCTTAGTGAGAGTCAGTATCCCTGACTCTGGAAAGATGCACGTGTGCATGCACTCATCCACTCACACACATACTTGTGTATCCCTAGAAAAGTGAATGGTAGAATGAGAGTGACTCTTGGGATCTGGGCTCAGTTGATCGTGGTAGCACTTACTGAGTTGGAAATAAGGGATTAGAAGAAGAGTAGTAAGGAGAAGGAAAGTAGTAAGGTAAGGAAATCAACCCTGAATGTTCAATTGGAAGGACCAATGCTGACGCTGAAGCTCCAATACTTGGCCCACCTCATGCAAGGAATAGACTCATTGGAAAAGTACTTTTGATTAAATAAATTAGAACATGTCAGGTCTATAAGAGAGGCAGTGACTTGAGGAAGAGACAAGTACAGTGATAAGAAGTGGGAGCACCTGAGAACTGGTTGAAGATGTAGAAGAGGCTATTTCAGTGGAAGATAGTGATTCTTGATATTTTGAGAAAGTTAATAGGTGCTCAGTATCTAAACACAATTGTGAAGGCCTTTTTTGTGCTGTAATTAGAGCATAGTGTATAGATGTCTTGAAAAAAAATATTGTCTGATTTTAAAAGTTCTTTCCCTCCTTAATCTGTTTTGTTACCAGAAAAAAAAAGTGAACAAGAATTAAAAGATGAAGAAATGGATTTATTTACCAAGTATTACTCAGAATGGAAAGGAGGTAGAAAAAACACAAATGAATTCTATAAGACCATTCCTCGGTTTTATTACAGGGTAAGTGATATCTAAGCAAATGTCTTGCAGAGTTTATAAATTAAGTATAATTTTTTTAATGGGATAAAAATCTTTTACTTTATAAACAGATAAATTTATTATATTTTAAATTTTGTATATTGTTTTATTATAGTTGACCTTCAAGGCTAAACTGAAAAATAGATGAGAGTGGAAAACTTTAAGAGTTATACTTAATTATATGTTTCTTTGTGCCAAAATGGTAAAGAAGGCTTTGAAGAGGGTTGTAGATAAAACAGTAAGACTTTCAGAAAGCTATTTACAGCTAAAATCGAAGGCTACTGAAAAGAACAAGACCTATTTAGTATTCTGGAAAGTGTAGCTACCATAATAAAGTTAACTTTGGAATTTTAGCTGAATGTTTCTTAAACCTGTTGCCTTCTAAACTCAATTAATTGTAACATTATTTGCAAAGAAAGTAAATACTATGTTTCACTTGCATTAAGGAGTGAGGTATTGATATAAGTGGACTATCCAGATAATTTTAACTTATTACTTCAAGTACAGACTTTTTTTATTTGAATCATTTTACTGGAAACTTTTTTGTAATACTTTGTCTCCCAGCCTTTGAAAAATTATGAGACTGTTCCACATTTGTTGTGGAAAAGAGAAAAAACAGCTAATGCCAGAGAAATAAAGATTTTTATATGTGTGTGTTTAACAAAAATGAGGTCACAGCATACATACTTTTCTTTTTACTTTTTTGCATTTCATACTTTTTTAATCAGAGGCAGTTAGACAACTGAGAATTTTTGTAGTCTGAGGGATTGCGAAGGGAATTGACATTTGTTGAGTGTCCACCTACTCTTTTTTTTGAACATTTTATATTCATTATCTCATGTAATCAGGATTGTGAAATTGTTATCTTAATAACCCAGAAACAGCCTTCAGATGCTGACATCACTCCATTCCCAGGACTCCACTTTCCTGTATTTCCAATACCAGCTATCCCCTTGTGGTTCCTGAGGGAATCCGCCTTTCCCCCATTTCTGTCTCTTCTCTGACCTCTTCCAGGTCCCAAGTGGCTGCTGGTCTGCAGATGTGGACTCATGGGATGTTCTTTCCCTGGTTTCTTCTTCTCTTTCCGCTCCACTGCTTCAGAAAAACTACCTGTCATCTTTGGTCACCACTTCTCTCCTTGGCTGGTTAGCTGGTTGACTAGCCACGGGCACACAGTTCTTGTCTCAAGCCCAGCCTCACCTCCTAATGCTTATTCCTTCTCCCTCCTCTTTGATGGAAAGGATGGCATCTTAGTTCTTAGAAATAAAGTAAAATCATAGCCCCAAATTTGGATTATGGATTACACAGCTTTATTTGATGGGGCAAAGATACATAAAAGAAAGAAATTCTCAAAGTGAATTATTTGAAGTTGTTGGGATGAGTCATCTTAAAGCCCAGCTTAGGGAAATCACCACAATAAGCAGAACCTCTGCCTTGGAGGCCAATTCATAGACTTTGGCTTGACCATCTCTGAGAAGTAAGGTGATTCAATCTCACCAGGCATACTTGGCTAAAAGTCAGTCTTCAGCTAGTCCTGATTTAATTCTGTATCAGTCTAAGGTTACACTGGGAACAGTGTTCTCTGAATATAAAGTGAAACTTGGGCTACATTGAGAAAATAGAAAAAGTGGTGGGTCATAAAGGAAAGTAAGAGCATGACATTCTGATACATTTAGTTTGGGGATGGTTATCTTCCGTTGATTATCTGTCATAGTACTTTACTCCTAGCAGTCACTAGGAAGTAGCATTGAAGTCTACTTAAGGGAGAGATAACCTAACTACCCAGTAATGGAAATGAGATGGAGAAGATAAAATACACTGAATCCCTGATGTCAGAAGACCCAGACGCAAGTTTTATTACGCTAGTTGCACAACTTTGGGCAAGTCATTAACATTGAGAAATGAGGACAGAGGGGAACAAAGAACCAAAGAAAACAACTCATAAAAAATTAAAATAGACTGGAAGTCCGAAGATTTAAATCTTGGGTCTGGGACTGACTAACTGCATATGCCTTCTTGATAGTCATCCATCTCTTGATTTCCTTACCTCTAAATTGAGTGTGATGAAATCCATCTCACAGGGCTAGTAGGATTAAATTAGAATGCGTGTATTGATGTTTGATATATTGTGGACATATACTAAATGTTGTGTTTATGTTTTTTTCATTTATTTTTATTAGTTGGAGGCTAATTACTTTACAGTATTATAGTGCCACACATTGACATGAATCAGCCATGGATTTACATGTATTCCCCATCCCGATCCCCCCTCCCGCCTCCCTCCCCATCCCATCCCTCTGGGTCTTCCCATCCCTCTGAGCACTTGTCTCATGCATCCAACCTGGGCTGGTGATCTGTTTCACCCTTGATAGTAGACTTGTTTCAATGCTGTTCTCTCAGAGCATTCCACCCTTGCCTTCTCCCACAGAGTCCCAGAGTCTGTTCTGTACATCTGTGTCTCTTTTTCTGTTTTGCATATAGGGTTATCGTTACCATCTTTTTAAATTCCATATATATGCATTAGTATACTGTATTGATGTTTAACTTTCTGGCTTACTTCACTCTGTATAGTGGGCTCCAGTTTCATCCATCTCATTAGAGCTGATTCAAATATATTCTTTTTAGTGGCTGAGCAATATTCCATAGTATATATGTACAACAGCTTTCTTATCCATTCGTCTGCATTTAGGTTGCTTCCGTGTCCTGGCAATTATAAACAGTGCTGCGATGAACTAAATGTTGTGTTTATTTTTAAGTAAACTCTGGATCAAAAAAAAAGAAACTTGGGCTAGATGGTTAGCTTTTTCCAGGCAGAACTGGCCTCGCTGATCACTGAATTCTCTGTGGATCTCTTTTTGTTAAATTAACTTTTAAAATAAATGATGACTTGAAGTTAAGCAAAATTGAGATACAAAAAATAGTTCTGAGACAGTAGCATACATAGTTTTTTAGACCGGATCAGTTCAGTTCAGTCACTCAGTTGTGTCCGACTCTTTGCGACCCCATGGACTGTAGCACACCAGGCTTCCCTGTCCATCACCAACTCCTGGACCTTACTGAAACTCATGTCCGTTGAGTTAGCGATGCCATCCAACCATCTCATCCTCTGTCGTCCCCTTCTCTTCCTGCCTTCAATCTCCCAGCATCAGGGTCTTTTCCAATGAGTCAGTTCTTTGCATCAGGTGGCCAAAGTATTGGAGCTTCAGCTTCAGCATCAGTCCTTCCAGTGCATATTCAGGACTGATTTCCTTTAGGATGGACTGGTTTGATCTTGCAGTCCAAGGGACTCTCAAGTCTTCTCCAACACCACAGTTCAAAAGCATCAGTTCTTAGGCACTCAGCTTTCTTTGTAGTCCAACTCTCACATCCATACATGATTACTGAAAAAATCATAGCTTTGACTAGACAGACCTTTGTTGGCAAAGTGATGTTTCTGCTTTTTAGCCTAGGTTGGTCATAGCTTTTCTTCCAAGGAGCAAGAGTCTTTTAATTTCATGGCTGCAGTCTCCATCTGCAGTGATTTTGAAGCCCCAAAAAATAAAGTCTGTCACTAATTCCATTGTTTCCCCATCGGTTTGCCATGAAGTGATACATTTTACATAATCCAATGGTCTAGAATTTAAGTGTAGAAATTAACTGCAGTGTATTTTTAGCTGCCAGCTGAAGATGAAGTCTTACTACAGAAATTAAGAGAAGAATCCAGAGCTGTCTTTCTGCAAAGGAAAAGCAGGGAACTATTGGATAATGAAGAATTACAGGTAAGAATGGAATAATTCTTGGCCATTTTTTATTTGTACTACATGTGTGATGTGGGACCCCAGGGTGCCTACATGGAGACAGTAGTGCAGAGTAGCTGAAAGCACAGACTCTGAAGTGATGGTTCCCACCAGAATCAACTGCAAAGCTTATGTGTCCCAAGGAGAGTTTTGTCTTGTATTTTAAGTCCATAGGTAATTTTAATGTGAGGCCAAAGTTGAGAACCACTATTGTAGGGACTCATATTAAGAATATCATCTTCTATTATCCTTTGATTACTAATAACATAATTAAAAATAGCATTTATTGAGTGTTGACTAACTTCTAAAATTTTCATATACAGTTCCTCTTTTATCCATATAGCTGTATGATGTAGGGACTATTATCCCTATTTACAAATGAGATTTGAAACACAGGAAGCTTAAGTCCACCATCCAAGACTGTCTGTAGACAGGGCTGGCATTTTAACCCTTGCATTTTGACCCTACAGTGCAAGTGAAAGTCGCTAGGTCGTGTCTGACTCTTTGTGACCCCATGGACTATACAGTCCATGGAATTCTCCAGGCCAGAATACTGGTGTGGGTAGCCTTTACCTTCTTCAGGGGATCTTTCCAACCCAGGGATCAGACCCAGGTCTCCCACATTGCAGGTGGATTCTTTACCAGCTGAACCACAAGGGAAGCCCAAGAATACTGGAGTGGGTAGCCGATCCCTTCTCCAGTGGATCTCCCTGACCCAGGAATTGAACTGGGGTCTCCTGCACTGCAGGCAGATTCTTTGCCAAGTGAGCTATCAGGGAAGCCCCAGTGATAGACAGTAGTCTATCATTTTAATGGAAATAACACATTTTTAAACTATTCTTTTAAATTTTTGTTTTACTGATAATAACATCTTAAATTTCTTAAAATTTCTGCAATTCTCCTAAGAACTTATGGTTTTTGCTGGACAAACACCAGACACCACCCATGATTGGAGAAGAAGCAATGATTAATTATGAAAATTTTTTAAAGGTTGGTGAAAAAGCTGGACCAAAGTGCAAGTAAGAATAATATAATTAAGAATATGTTAAATTAAGCATTTTAAATGCATCAAATAAATGTTAGTGGAATTTTAAGTCAATGATATGATCATTTAAGTCAACTTTTCATTAAACTAATAAAGTTTAATAAAATTATTTATAGTCAAGACTATTACATTGATATAAAGTTGTTAAATAATATAGTTTATTTACAACACTGTAGTCCCTCATTCTTAAGGCAATAGGATTTAAAGATGTATGACTTAATATTTTAAGTTTTGAACTATAGTTCTCACTTTGATTTTTTCCTTCTACTTTGATTTTTAGTTGTTTGAATTTATGCTATTTTCTGCTAAATCATATAGAAGTCATTTTTTTTATTATATTGGCAGATGATTTAACATTTATTTTCTTTTCTTAGGCAATTTTTCACAGCAAAAGTCTTTGCTAAACTCCTTCATACAGATTCTTATGGAAGAATTTCCATCATGCAGTTCTTTAATTATGTCATGAGAAAAGGTGACTCCCATTTTCATTTTGCTTCAACTCCTTCTATCTGAAAATCAAGAATTTGGGTCTTTGCTTTTATAATATCCCTTCCATGTCAAACATCTCTTTTATTAAATTTGAATAGCAGAATTTCTTGTCTTTTGAACAAGATTTGTTTTCCTATTATTATGATTCTCTCCTGGAACTTACTGGAGCTGAAACTTTCTACCATACATTTGGGTTCACTATTACAGAAAAGTTTATAAAAAAACAAAACGAAAACCTCTTCTGAAGATGCTAGCTAACTAGATATATCAAAAGTTGAACCAAGAATTTTAATGGATTGTTATTTGAAATATTTTAATTCACTGGTAATTTCATTTCACCAATATATTACAGGTTGAGTTGCCCGAGAGGATAGTTTCAAACTCAAAACTGTAGCCGCGTACTGAAGGAGTTTTTATTAAACAACATGGAGTTGTTATGATTCCTATAAGTTCCATAATGACTTTTCAAATCCTGTGTGTACCATCTTTAACTGATATTTGGTTGCAGTAATTAACCTCAGTAGAATAAAATCTGCTTCACTGAAGGCATAACGTTACACTCCTGTTTGGTGGAACACTGGGATTCTCAAGGGCATCAACTTTACGTCACTATAGGCACAATAGAATTGTTGATATCTGCAGTTAATTCTATGGTATATTTATTTCAAACAGTTTTTGGATTAATGAATAGTATATGTGAGAAAATATATGTTTATGGAGTTATTAAATTAGGTTGTCCTTCTAATTTTACCTTCTTTTATGAATATATATACCAAAGGATAGATCTTAATAATTACTATATTTCATTTTCTCATTTACTGTCAGTTTGGCTTCATCAAACAAGAATAGGACTCAGTTTATATGATGTTGCTGGACAAGGGTATCTTCGGGAATCTGTAAGTATTAACCTACTTTCATAACTATTTTAGACACCAAAATGCTAAATAATAGTTATCACTGGATGTTGAGATTACAGATAATGTAAGGGCAAGGAGTTTTTCCTTTTTTAAGAAATACAAGAAAAATTATGTGACTATATTCCCACCTGTAGGTTTGGGTTGTAAGGTCAGTTACCAAGAGGATATTTATTACCCATTAGGTGGTTGTGAAGAATTAGAAATGACTGAGCAATTGAGCATGCACAGACACACACACACACACACACACACACACACACACACACACGTACTAATGTAGTTAGGCCAGGTTATCAGCAAAGAATTATATTACAGCTTCATGATACAAATCATTATTTTTCTTGGAAGTGTAACTATCTTAATTATATGGACATGTTTCTTTTCAGTGCAGGCTTTTTTCCCAAATATATATAAAAGGGGAATGGAGTTATGCATAAATATGAACCAGGATAATTAATCACTTAGATAAATGTTCAAATATAAGATTTAAAGAAATGCAGATTCCCTGTTATAGTTTGTTGCACTCTGTTTTATCCAGATTTATATAGATAGAATCTATTAGCTCATACTGAACATTTATACTTAAAAACTTTTCTAGGGCCACAGTACTGTTCTTGTCCTTTAAGGTTTAGATCAACTTGACAGTAAAAGGTTCTTGGTTCTATCCATCTCTCTATAGCAAGGAAGACATATTAACCATTTGTTGATACTTATTCAGGTCAGATATTGGAATACTTCTATAGCTCTGAGGATTCTTGTCAGCCATTAGTTGGTTTACAAAACTTATCTCTTCTTGCCTCTTGCCATGAATAGAAACAAAAATTAAAGGGATAGGGAGAAAAAAGCAACAGTGTATCTCTATAGTTGTGTTTAAAAGGGAATAATGTTCCCTTCTGCCAATGAAAGGAAATATTTCTCTCAAAGGAAAAAAACCTCTCTCCTAACCTTGGTGCTTTGCCTTTTGAAACCAGACTTGTGTCTCCCTTATTTAAAAGATAAGTGATTTCCAGCGCCAACATCTGTAATTTGAGTAGTATAGGCAAACTTTCATTCAACTATTAAATCTTAAATAAGCAATTACCAAACATTTAATTTATGCTAGGTACATTGTCAAGCCTTACTTTAATGTATAATAAGGTGCTTTTTTCCTAACAGAGTGAGGAGGCAGACACTAAGTTATCTGCAATATGATTTCAAAGACTGACAAGTTCTAAGGAAAAAATAGGGTCCTAGGAAAGAGTATGACTGGGGTTGGAGAACTATTTTAAATAAGATGAAAGGTGCCTCTTTGAACTAGTGACTGAGTTTTAGCCATGAAGGATAAGCCAGCCTTATGAAAATGTACAAAGGAAATAGCAAGTTCAGTGTCCCTAAGGCACAGTTAAACCTGATCTGTTTTAGAAACAGAAGGAAGCCAGTGTGTCTAGAGCATATGAGCAAGGGTTAGAGTAACAAGGGGCTTCCCTAGTAGCTCAGCTGGTAAAGAATCCACCTGCAGAGCAGGAGACCCCAGTTCGATTCCTGGGTCGGAATATCCCCTGGAGAAGGGATAGGCTGCCCACTCCAGGATTCTCGGGCTTCCCTGGGGGCTCAGATGGTAAAGAATCTGCCTGCAAAGTGGGAGACGTGGGTTCAGTCCCTGGGTTGGGAAGGTCCCCTGAAGGAGGGCATGGCAACATACTCCAGTGTTCTTGCCTAAAGAGTCCCCATGGACAGAGGAGTCTGGTGGGCTACAGTCCATGGGGTCGCAAAGAGTTGGACATGACTGAGCGACTCAGCACAGCACAGCACCAGAGTTGACAGAAGGGGAAGGTGGAGAAGTAGGCAGGGCCACTTGTATTAGGCCATGGTAGGGAGTTTGGATTTTATTTTGAGACTAATAGGAAGCCAGGAGAGCTTTTAAGCTGACTCTGTCAGATATGGTTTACATTGTATTTATTTATTGGCCACAAAGCATGTGAATCTCAGTTCCTCGAGCAGGGATTGAACCCAGGCCACAGTAGTAAAAGTCCAGACTCCTAACTATTAGGCCATCAGTGAACTCCCTAGTTTACATTTTAAATTTTGTTTCTTTTTTTTTTTTCCTGGCCATGCTGCTCAACCTGTGGGATCTTAGTTTCCTTACCAAGAATCAAACCCATGGCCCCTGCAGTGGAAGTGCAGAGTCTTAACCACTAGACCACCAGGGTCCTCCCTGGTTTACATTTTAAAAGATCACTGGATGTGTGGAGAATGAATTGTACGGAGCCTAGAGTCAATGAATAATTAGGAAACTACTGTGGTTGTCCAGGTGAGAGATGATAGTGGCCCAGACCAGGATGATGTCTGTGAAGAAGCCAGTAATAGTTCGATTTAGTATTTATTTTGGACATACACACCCCAACAACAACAAAAATTTGCTGCTGGATTAGATGTTAGGGGTAAAGCACAGGGGCCTTGGTAAAGAAAAGGTAGGAACCAAGTTTAAATTTTTTACTTTGAATAAATGGTGGAATGGGGGAAATAGGTGAGGACCAGGGTTGGGGATGATAAGAGTCCAGTTTTGAACTCACCATGTATGAGATGCCATTGGCTATACAACTTAGATTATAAAGTATCTCAGAGGAAGTGGAAACGCTATATTTCAGGAGGGATAAAGCAAAAGTAACAAAATTGTAAAATATAAGAAACCATGAGAGACATTTAAATATATAATCTTGGAGTAGGGAAAGCTTTTCTGAATATGACAAAGCTGAAAAGTCTAAAAAACAAGTTCAGCTAATTTTTTAAAAAATCTGTAAAGCAAAGACCATCATAAACAAAGTAAAAACAAGAAGTTGGGACTTCCCTGGCAGTCCAGTGGTTAAGACCTTGCCTTCCAGTGCATGGGGTGCAGGTTTGATCTGTGGTTGTTGGGGAAGTGGTCCGGGAGCTAAGATCCTACATGCCTAGCAGTCAAGGAGACAACATAAAGCAGAAACAATATTGTAACAAATTCAATAAAGACTTTTAAAAACAGAAAAGAAAACAGTAAGCCAAGAAAAATATCTGCAACTTATTCACAGACAAATGACCGATTACTCTAGTGGATAAAAAGCTCCTGGAAATCAAGAATAAAATGGCTGTTAACCCAGTAAAAACTGGGCAAAGGATATAAATAGTTTGCAGAAAGTAAATACAAATGCTTCTTAATCATAGGGAAAAAAATGTTAACCTCACTTTATATGAGAGAAATGCCAAATAGATCTACACTAAAATATCATTTTTCACCTGTCAGATTGGCAAAGATCAAAAAGTTTGATAATGACTTTAATGAAGGAATGTAAAATAGACCATGGTTTCCCAAACTTTTCCAGTTCACTGAGGTACCCTTATTGTCTCAGTCATTTTTTCCATAGAAAAATGGCCAAAAGAAATACCTAACAACTCCATTTATGAACCAGTTGTTGTTTTTGTTGTTTAGTCACTAAGTCTTGTCCAACTGTGTTGCGACCCCTACTAGAGCCCACCAGACTTTGCTGTCCATGGGATTTCCCAGGCAAGATTACTGGAGGGGCTTGCCATTTCCTTCTGCATGAGATCTTCCTGACCCAGGGATTGAATTTGAGTCTCCTGCACTGGCAGGCGGATTCTTTACCACCAAGCCCTCAGTGCTGTGTGCTCAGTCACGTCCAACTCTTTGTAAGCCCACAGACCGTAGCCCACCAGATTCCCCTGTCCATCGAATTCTCCAGGCAAGAAGACTGGAGTGGGTTGCCATTTCCTTCTCTAGGAGCCACCAGGGAAGCCCATTAACCATTAGTTTTAGCTGGCACTGTACAGTTACTCAGCCCTGGGTTGGACACAGTCATCCTTGATTCCTTTGCTACACTAATTTTCACATGATACTTGCTTTATCACAGCAACCACCAAAAACCTAGCTTTGCAAGGATGAAATGGAGTCAGGTGAAAATAGCTCTGACATGTCCAACTCTTTGTGACCCTATGGACTCCTTGGCCTATGAGATGTGGCAGGCAAGAATACTGGAGCGGGTTGCCATTCCCTTCTCCAGGGAATCTTCCCCACCCATGGATTAAACCCAGGGGTCCCACATTGCGGGCAGATTATTTACCGTCTGAGCAAGAATAGATGTTATCAAAAGGAATAAATTTCAAACTAATGTGATTGAAATGTGAATGACCTTGAATTCATAGCTCTAGCCCATGGTGACATGTTGTGCAGTATCCAATAGATGTCGCTGTGTTTCCTTTAATTTATAGTATCTTGCTGCACCCCCTTGAGTTTAGTGTATCAGTCCTGGGGCACAATTTGGAAGCTGTTGATAGAGCCTTCACGATGCTGCTGTTAGTGTGAAGTCAATATGTCCTTCCTGGGGAAGTGTGAAGTTTGCTGATGTCTATCAAAATTATAAATGTGCACATGCTTTGACCCAGCAATTCAACTTACAGAAGTTAATGTCCTATATTCTCCCATAGTATCTATGAGTGAAAAATTACCTTGGTCCCTGTAATACATTATTTACTTATTTTTTTGGCCATGCTGAGTGGCATGTGGAGTCATAGTTCTCTGACCAGGGAATCCAACCTGTACCCCTTGCAGTGGAAGCATGGAGCCCTAACCATTGGACTGCCAGTGTATTCTCTATAGTATTTTAGTGTTGCAAAAGATTATAAACAGTGTAGATGTCCATTAGTAGAAGACTGGTTCATTAGATTATGGTACATTCATACAGTGAAATAATACACAGCTATATTTTAAAGAGTAGAAGTTCTTTGAGAGCCAAAATGGAATGACTACAAAGTATATTGCTAAATAATAAAAGGAAGATAGAGAAGAATTTTCATGGTCTGCTGCTACATCCTGTGTAAAAAAGGAAAAGAAATATACATATATATGTATTGGCTTATATGTGTATCGGTTATCTTTGGACAGATATATCAAAAACTGATAATATAGGTTACCTCTGGGGAGAAGAAATGGGAAGGAAACTTCAATGAATACTTTTTTGTTTCTTTTGTATTTGGAACTATGTAGAATGTGTTACCTATTCAAAAATATATTAAGATATAAATAAATGGCATATATAAAATAACTTCACCACTAATACAGTTATAAATTTATTTCATTATTATAGTTTCAATGCTGAATAATTTTAGGACTGAAATTGTATTTTAGTATCTAATGAAAAATCAAGATCAGACATTTTAACACTGTAAAATTGTATTTTGTTTTGTTCTTTCAGGATTTAGAAAACTACATATTGGAACTTATCCCTACTTTGCCACAGTTAGATGGGCTGGAAAAATCTTTTTACTCCTTTTATGTTTGTACAGCAGTTCGAAAGTTCTTCTTCTTTTTAGACCCTCTAAGAACAGGTAAAAGAAAATCTTATCTAACTTAGATATTTTCTAAATCTCAATAACTAGAGTTAAGTCTTTAAAATGTAATTTATTTTCATAACATGTCATTGCCACTGATATATAAATATTTTGATATCTAGATCTTTTGATTTACTTGCACCAACCACCATCAGCTATATGACAGTGGGCATGTCACATAACCATTTACAATTTCTTTGTCTTTAAAATGAAGTACCAACTAGGTAACCTATGGTTCTTTCCAGTTTAAAGAAGCCAGGTGTTGATATATTTGCTAGCCCTAATGGGTAATATACTGGAGAATTATTCTTTTTGATGAAAAATATGAATTGGGAGATAGGAGGACCGTTTAGCCATAATGTATTTTTCTCATTCTCAAGTTAACCATCCTATACGAGGATCAGATTTGTAAATTTTGCCTCATGTTTTAACAGTACACTCTATCAACTGTTCTAACCTGCTAGACTGGGACAGAGGAAGGGACAGGAGGCCCAAACCAAAGTCCTTGGTTCTTTTAGGTCCTTGAAAGTGCAGCTGTGTGAATCCGTCACAGTATGGGGTAGCTGTCAGTCTTTTTTAAATGCCTTTGTTACAGACATACACATCTTTTCCCTTTGAAATTTACAAAATAATAGCGAACAGTTTTGACTGTTTATTATGTACTGAGTACTGTGCTAAGCAGTTTACAATTCATTTCCTTCTCAACTCCATAAAGAAGGTATTATTATCCACATTTTATATATAAAGCAGCTGAGACCTAGATAGATTGCATGTCTAGAAATGGTACTTAAATCCCATCTCTCTACTCTTAACCATGCTTTATACTGTTTTCTATTCCAGAACCTCCAAAGGAAATTGGAGACAGTCTCTTTATTTGACTACTAATAGTATCATATCTATAACCACCAAAAAAATTAACTCAACTTTTTTTGGAATCTTGTATCAATGTAATTTTGGAATTTATCAATTGGATATATATTTGGTGGTATATAGGTAGACATGTCTATATGAGATTTTATTAACTATACCTTGCAGATTTCCCTTTTAACAACAATATATAGTAAGGACTTTAGAACATGAGAGCTAGGAAGCTTTAAAATACCAATTGTGTGATTGCTTTTCTAAAACAACATTTTTATAAAATTGAGTTGCTCTTATTTTTAAAATTAATTGTGTTTCTGTTCTTTAAAGGGAAGATAAAAATTCAAGATATTTTAGCATGCAGCTTCCTAGATGATTTATTGGAGGTAAGTATATTTTTAAATTACTTAATTCTATCACTTGATAGTTGCTGTCTTCTAATTATGTCTCTTTGTTCATCTAGTTAAGGGATGAGGAACTATCCAAGGAGAGTCAAGAAACAAATTGGTTTTCTGCTCCTTCTGCCCTAAGGGTGTATGGTATGTTTTTATCATAATGCTAAAATTTGAATTATCTGTTCTTCAGTAAATGTTTCATTAACTTCTGTTCAAAGGACAGTTTTATACATAGCCTGATTACCTTAGGGCACCCCTGGTGGCTCAGGCAGTAAAGAATCCACTTGCACTGCATGAGACCTGGGTTCGAATCCTGGGTTGGGAAGATTCCCTGGAGGAGGGCATGGCAACCCACTCCAGTATTCTCGCCTGAGAATCCCTGTGGACAGAGGAGCCTGGAGGGCCACGGCCCATGGGGTGGCAGAGTCGGACACGACTGAGTGACTAAGCACAGCACAGCACAGTTTACCTTAAGATCAAAGTATTCTAATTTCCTTAAGAGCGTCTATTCTAGATTACCAAATTTTACTTGTTTAAATACCAGCATTTTATATACATGTATGTGTATGTGTGTATATTTTTAAGAGTTGATTTGTAATGTTGTGCCAAGCTCTGCTGCACAGCAAACTGCCAGTGTTTTATATTTCTGTGACTCTTAATACATTTCGAGCACTTTAACATAAGGAATGTGGTTTGACTATTGTTGACTCAGGAACATTAACATGAACATCACCTATGAACTTGCATTGTGATAAAATGCTGCTCTCAGGGTCCACAGAGGGATGTCTTTGGACCTAGTTTGCTTTTTTCTTGAATTTCATTAGTCTGTTACACTGTTCTAGTGAGTGATCTGACTTGTTTTGACAACCTTGACCCCTGCTTTCAAGTGCCAGCATTCCAGTGCTTTATGTTGGTTGACCCCCTACCTCCATCTAATTTAGAATCCTAGGAAAGTTCTAAAAGGTTGCAAACTGAAAACAAATAATGTAAATGAAATAGCATAAAGGCATGATGAATTTTCTTTGACTGCTTTCTGGCTTAACATTGTTCTGATAGAGATTAAAGGAATAGCAGGTGTCTACTGTGACTGTAACAAAATTAGTTTAAAAATCAAAATATTAATAAAAATAACTTTGTTTCTTTTGGTCATAAGTGTCTTTTTATTGTCTCTCTTCCCAAGGCCAGTATTTGAACCTTGATAAGGACCACAATGGCATGCTCAGTAAAGAAGAACTCTCCCGCTACGGAACAGCAACCATGACCAATGTCTTCTTGGACCGTGTTTTCCAGGAGTGTCTCACTTATGATGGAGAAATGGTAGTAGTCTAAACCTCTGAGTTTAGAAAATTTGGACTCCCACAATTTCCAAAAGCCCTTTTTAAAAATAGAAATATAGTTGAATAACAATGTTATATTAGTTTCATGTATACAACATAGTGACTCAATATTTTTATAGATTACATACCAAAGTTATGGCAAAATATTGACTATATTCCCTGTGTAAAGATTTCATTCTTTTTATGGCTGAGTCATGTTCCATTGTATATATACCATGTCATCTTTATCCACTTATCTGTCGATGGACACTTAGGCTGTTTCCATATCTTGGCTTATGTAAGTATTGCTGCTGTGAACACTGGGGTGCGTATCTTTCCAAACAACTGTTTCCATTTTCTTCACATAAACATCCAGGAATAGATTTGCTGGATCATATAGTTCTATCTTTAATTTTTTGAGGAACCTCCATATTGTTTTCCATCGTGCTGGACCAATTTGCATTCCCACTAACAGCACATGAATGTTCCCTTTTCTCCACATCTTTGAACACTTTAGTTATCTTTTGTTTATTTGATTTTTTGTTTTTGCATGTGGGGTCTTAGTGGGATTGAACCCATGCCCTATGCAGTGGAAGTACCAAGTCTTAACCACTGGACTGCCAGGGAAGTCATTAGTTCTTTTTGATGGTAGCCATTCTGAACAGTGTGAGGTGATCTCATTGATTTTGATTTGTGTTTCCCTAATGACTAGTGATATCAAGCATCTTTCCATGCGCCTGTTGGCCATCTGATATCTTCTTCAGAAAAATGCCTGTTTAGGACCTCTGTCCATATTTAATCACAAAAGCCTTTTTCTTGATGTGATACGGCAGTATTTTCTTGTCAGTGTATAACAGTATCTTAAGAAGTGTGAACTGATCAAATTGTTTGAGATTCAGAGCCTTTGATCTTAAGGTAAATTTGCTTAAAAACATTACTTCCCTTATGGACTCAGGAAAAATAGAAATTTTTACTATTTTGTTCATTTCATTGTTGGTGCACCTATTGTAGAGGAATGTTGCAGGCTAGTAAAAAAAATAAATATCTGCAAAACAGGTAAATACTATTGACTATTTTCATATAGATGGTTCACTCATTGAATTACCAGGTCAGATATAGTACCATATATGCCATGATTTAAATCTAAGAATCAGCTTCTATTATTCTAAGTGACTACCTTAGTAGCTAAAGATTTGCTAACATGTGCCTGTCCTTTTATCACAACAATGCAAAATATATACTTGAGAAGAAAATTCTAAATAGCATTTTTTTTAATAGCATTTTTAAGTCACCATTCTTGCTATTAAAAATGTGTGTTAAGGCTCTGATAACTTTTTCAAACCAATGATGCTTAAGAAATAGTCATACTGTCAGCAGAGAATCAGGGTTTTAGGTTTTATCATTAGCTTCAATAACAGTTTTCTAAATGACACCATTGTTAACCAACTGCCAAAAGAAAAGAGAGGAAAGGCACAGAAACAGCTTCGTGACTCTCACAGCTGCCTAAACAGTGAGAAGCTTGGAGTATACTAATGACGTGATGAATAAAGAAAATCAGAAGCTACAGTTAGGCGTGGAGTTTAGACCATGATAAGGCTGCATCTCTAGCTCTTATATACATAGTTTATCAGAAAAGAATTCTTAATCTTAGCCTAAAAAAGTCCTTTCCAAGATTATAAACATTTTTTTCCCAAGTGAAAATCTCTGAAGTACTTTACTTCTTTTAACCATGCAAAAAAAGTAATCTGTGACTACACTTTTTTCGTAGAAAAAGCTTTCTGTTCTCTTCATGTCTTTTTAACCTTCATTTGTATCCTTTTGCTCCCTTTTGGATGAGAACAGTGTCAGATCACAGTAGAATATCTGGCATTCTTAAGATGACTTATTGAAAAAAAAATGACTTATTGGAAATCATCTGAATTAAAATTTCAAAACAGTATTTCAGACAACCACACTGAACTGAAAATATCAATTTAGTGGCAATACACAATACCTGTCACTCTTCTGTCCAATTCAAAAGCCTAATGAATGAAAATTATGATTTAACACAGCAAATCTCGTAAGAAAATCGGCTGTGCCCCCAAAAACTGTCTGTACAGGTTAACTGCAGTGTATAGAATTCCTAGAAACCAACATTAAGTATAGTTAAGTATGAATTTCTCATTTCATATTAAAAAATTGCCATCTTTGATTACAAAATAGCCTCCAATCATCAGACATTCATTTGAAAAGTTAATTACAAATTATAAATAAGGATTCTAATGAACATCATTTTCTTTTCTCTAGGACTATAAGACCTACCTGGATTTTGTTCTTGCATTAGAAAACCGAAAAGAACCTGCAGCTCTGCAGTATATTTTTAAGTTACTTGACATTGAGAACAAAGGGTATCTGAATGTCTTTTCCCTTAATTATTTCTTTAGGGTAAGTCTCATTTGTGTAAGTGTATCTTTGTTATACAGCCTGGTTTAAATTATCTACCAAGTGACAATTTTACCTAACTTGGGGTGGTTAAATTTAGCAGAAGGGTTTATATAACACATTTCAGAAGGAAATGAGTCTGGTTTTAGGTTTCTCTATTTTTTAAAATATAAATGGGCTAAATCAGTGCTGATTTGATTAGTTGTAAGATACTTTAAAAGTGTATAAATACATGTCAGGCTTGTTAACCACTGGAGATAAAAACATGCCTGAGAAATTCTGTGCTCTTGGTGATCAAAAACTAGTATGTAAAATTCTATAGAAACCTTAATTACATGTTCAGAAAAGGGAACTCCTTTCCACAGAAGTTTTGCCAACCTGGTAGTTGTAAATTCTTTTAATTGCTATGCTATAACAAATATAAATTTAAAAGTTGGCTAAAATTCACATTTCAGTGTGAAACAGATTTGCTGAAATACTTCTTCTGTGCCATAGGTGGTCTCAGAGAATAGCATGATGAGCTCTGGAGTGGAATTTGATTGTATCTGATAAGTATTCAGCTGTAGCAGGTGTAAATGTAGGAATGTCCACCCTTTTAAGATAAATCATTCCTCAGTTTGAATGGTGGCTTTTCTACTTGATGGAATGGTTTTGTACAGTACTGTTCCACTCCATTGCCACATAGCTAGTTTTCAGAAGACCATCTGGTTTTTATATGGTTAAGATCAATGGTAACAAGACTTTTTCTTTTTGATATTTTTTTTTAAGAGTAAAAATGGAAATTTTCACATTTTTGTCATAAACCATTTTCCCCTGGAAGCTTTTTTCTACCATTTAAAAATTTTATGATACTCCTAAAATAACTTTGTCTGATTTCTGAGTTTCAGAGTATATACTTCATAATTTCATGTTAAATTCCCTGAAAGGCTTTCTTTCTCTTATGATTTTCTAGGTAGTAATGACTACAGATTATTATAAGGATAAAATATATTACATCCAGTATGAGGACGCATTTTTTAAAAATTGAATGCCACATGGACTTATATCCATGACTAATCTGAGAATCTAATACCACCCATCATCGGTATGCCACTGCTTTAAGCAGACCTATTAAATGAAAATTCAGTTTTAGGAAAACACAGTAAATATATCTTTCAAACTACTCAATCCCTTTTCACAACTCTTTCTTTAAAGTATCTTCTACTCTTGTGATATTTTATTTATTAAATACACTGAAAATACTTTATACATGTGTTTTAGACTTTGTTGTACGGGCTAAGGTAAAGTTACTGGCGCCGAGCCTGGCTGTGTGTAAAGCCTCTGTGCATCAGTATCCCGGTGATAAAGCCAGGCCCGCATGTGCACTCTAGGTCACCTGCTCCCGTAGGTGAGCGTGTACTCGGTTCCCGCATGCTGCAGAGGGGCCCCGTGCACACTGCTGTCAGGTGAACCACAGACTGGCACTCAGGACATATTTCACTGATTATTTTCCAAGAATTTTAAGCTTCCACATTTTCCAGTGAATGACTCCCACCTAAAATATTTGTTAGTCCAACTGGATCACCACAGTTTCTTCAGTCTTTTTTTTTGTTAAAGTTCATAAAATAATTTGAGGGAGGTTTACCTCCATTTTCTTCTGTCAAGAATCTGAAGTATAGGGTGGGAGGGGAGGTGGGAGACTGGGTGCCTTAAAGAATGTGAAGGTGTGAACAGCGTTCCTGGAACATGGGAGGAGCAGGTCCTAACAAAATTGCAAGGCCATGTTCTCAGGCCTGTTTGGGGTTGGAGACCGTTCTTACATAGTAGTAATCTGTACTCTTGTATACTTTCCTTATGAAGTTCTCCATAACTAAGGTGTTGGTCTAGAAAAGTTGATGACTACACCCAGTGTTTAGGTTTTGCTCAACAGATATAAAGCAAGGTCAAGGATTTGAGAAAATTGGCAAGGATGGTTAAAACAGTGAGACTTACGGTCTGATAGGATAGGAAACAGAACTAGAAAGGGGGCCATGGGAACAGGACAGGGAATGTTGTGTATTTTATTTTTTGTCTAAGCATTTATTTCTATTAAATACAGGCCATACAAGAACTAATGAAAATTCATGGACAGGATCCTGTTTCATTTCAAGACGTCAAGGTTACTTTTTTCTTTAATTTACATAATTTACAGCAGATAATCATTTGTATTAAATGAAGTTTTTACCTGAAAGCACCTTATGATATACTGAACCAAGTATTTGCAGTTATTTGTTCTGAAGTAATATTTAAGTTATTAGAGACTGAGACCATAATGGGACTAATGATTTGCACAATTTAACATTTTAACAGTGTCAGTCTTGTGTTCTCCTTAGAAGCGTTCATTCAGATTGAAAATTAAGAGAATCAGTACAGCCTGTATCTTTTGGCAGTCTGTTCCACCATAAACTGAATTTGGGCAAACTGTTTAGGTTCAGGCACTTTTTTAGTCCACTCCAGAGGGCTTGCTTGCTTTGGTATTGTTTAAGGAGACATCAGTCTTACTGTATGAAAACTACTACTATTTGAAACACATGCCACTACTTAACATTTTAGTAATCAGACTTTCATCAGCTGTAAAACACATGGGGATATCCAGTACTGGTTCAGGTGAAGTAATGTAATAAAATAACCCATCCCATTTTAACCAAATATAATAAAAGGCTATGTCAGTTTAATATAAATGAGACAAATTTGAAACTATGCAACTGGCAATTTAAAAACGAGTCATTTTATACTGCCACCAACGGGGAAAAGGAAATTTCACATACACACCAGATTAAAAAGTCATACATTTACCTGAATTGTTCTAGTCTTTAAAAATGTAATTTAAATACTACTAAATACATTGAGTGGTTTTACTATAAGCAGATTAGAAAACATGTACTGATTCCCCATAAGTAATCTTATAGTGCACTCAATAATATAGAAAAGGTTCTTCCATCTAGTTATTTTTATCACCATTTAGTGTCATTGTGGAAGACTAATTCTTTAATAGTCCCCCTATCCATTCCAGGTCCAGAGTAAAACGTTGACATTATTGGAAATGAAGCTTTGTCCCTGTCTTGGCTCGGAAACATTTAAGTTTTTACTTTGAGCCAAATCTGCATTAAATCAAGGCCTTGCTTTATCCATAATTAGAAGACAACAGAAAAATATAAGCAGTTACCACATATTCAAAGAACACTACATTAGATAGTTTTGCTACTAATTAGCTATGTAGCTTTAACTGAGCTTCACTTTCTTTATAAGAAACATACAGGCATACCTTTAAAAAAATTTTTTTTGATAAATAGAAGGTTTGTGGCAACCTTAGTCAAGCAAGTCTGTTGGTGCCATTTTTTTAACAGCATTTGCTCACTTTGTGTCCCTGTTTCACATTTTGGTAATTCTCACAACATTCATTATTGTTATTATTAGCTATATGTTGATCTCTGATGTTTGACATTACTATTGCAAAAAGATTACAACTTGTTGAAGGCTCAAATGATAGTTTGCATTCTTTTGTATAGCAATATTCTTTAACTAAGGTATGTACGTTTTATTACACATAATGCTGTTGTACACTTAACAGACTGCAGTATAGTGTAAAGATGAACCTTTGTAGTGCACTAGGAAACAAAAAATTCACAAGTTGCTTTATTGCAATATTCACTTTATTGCAGTGGTCTGGACTGAAATAAAAATATCCTCAAGGGTATGCCTCTACCTAAGGAATCTTCCACTAAAATTCTGTGTATATAGAAAGAGATGGATTGCCTGTTAAATGAAAAAGGAAAAACTAGAACAAAAAAATTTTACATAAGCTTAAGTGCTAGCCCTAAATTTTGGATCACTGTGTGATAGAAATTAAATGAATCAGATAGCAAATTTCATTGTATTTTTTCCTTCCTCTCTTGCAGGATGAAATCTTTGACATGGTAAAACCAAAGGATCCTTTGAAAATCTCTCTCCAGGATTTAATCAACAGTAATCAAGGAGACACAGTCACCACTATTCTAATTGATCTGAATGGCTTTTGGACTTACGAGAATAGAGAAGCGCTTGTTGCAAATGATAATGAAAACTCTACAGACCTTGATGATACATGACCTCTCAAAGACTAGATTGTATTCATTAAAGTAATCTTGAATGCTGCATGTAAATCTTTTGACACAGAATCCTTAGAAACAGTCTAAATAAAATACTTCATATGCCTACAGAACACAGCAAATGTTCTGGTTATTGGAATTTTGGCTGCAGTGGTCTGGAAGAAATGGGACCAAATTAGGAGCAGTAAATTCTGGTTACACTTAGCTCAGATATGGCAGGTGTGATCTGGTGAAGGTAGGAGTCCATTTTAAATATACATAATCTTTAGAAATAAAGGAAGTTTCCCTGGAATATTTCTGACATTAGTCATTAAGAATTTGAATACTTAAAATTTAAATTGTATCATTTAACTTTGAATCTTCTTCTAAAGTATTATGTATATCAAAGATTACAGAATTCCTCATTCATCAGAGAAGGGTCATTTCATTTCTGGGAAGTATTTGGACATGTTTATTTTAATAGAGTATTTCAATAAAAAGTATTCTAGTATTTTACTTTAATTAAAATCATTGGTATAAAAAAAATCTGTCTAGCTTGATTAACCAGCACCAGGGTTACATTTCACAAAATTTAACTCCATTTTGTTAAGAATTTTTGTTAGAGAATTTGTTAAGTATAAAGATTCTCAACTGTACTGTTTAGTTTTTAAAAGAAAGACTAGAAGAGGGTAGAATAGCATGAACCATGATTCAGAAGGAACAGTAATTATTCAAAGGGTTGGAAAGGAAGAAAAAGTGAAAGAGGCTTAAAAATAAGACAAAACCGTTTAATGCATTTATGGGAAATTTTATATTCTGCATAAATAAAAGTATAAAAGTTTAAGGCACAGTGAATATCTATATAAACATTATAAACTGGCCACTGTTGGACAAGTAAAAATTCAAGAAATGTAACGCCTTTATAAATCATTATCTTCCTTCTACTACAATCAGAAAAGTTTCTGAGTCAACTCCTTTACATCTGGTGCCTCTAGAGAGAGAAAATTCAGGTCACCTTTAGATACACTTGCCTTTACAGGATACCCAAATAAATATGAGTTTGAATATCTTCTCGAATGAAGGTAAAAACAAGGGGAACACATCAGATTAGCATTCTTTACTGGTAAACTACAATTTATGATGACATTATATAATCTGAAGATTAACCCTTTAAGCACTAAATTATATAGTTTATACCCATGACTAAAAAGATCACTATCACATGCCATGAACCACCATACTATGAATCCATGTAACTGAGGATTCCAAATAAAGAATTATCTTGCCTAAATCCTTCAAATTTCAATTGAAGAACTTAGTGGTCAGATGCTCACTGCTAACAGACTTCCATAATAAACCCACTGCACCTATGTTGTTTGTTTGAAGCTATACGTTAGGCAGATATATTTAAGATTGAACTTAATGCTATTTAGAAGACTATTAACAACCATTAATCTCTAAAGGCTCTTTAAGTTTGCGAATAGGTTTTTAGCAGCCCTGTATCTAAAATATACATTTCTCCTTACATTAAGTTATAAATCAAAGTCATACAGATACCGCATAAGATTCTGAACACATACGGGAATATTTTCAAAATTAGTTTCATATTATACTTTTGTGAAGTCTGCTAATGGCACAGTGGGTACAGAGATGGCCAACTGGGTCAAGCAAACCATCCACTGTTGCTACTTCGAAGTGGTTAATGACAGTTAATTTCATTATGCCACCACTGCACCTTGTACAATATTTAACAGTGAACCCCTAGAGGGTTAAGTCTTCATTTGTCCCCCAATATCACCCTGCAACTACTTGACTCAGAGGAGGCATTCAGGATTGAATGACTGACATAACCAGGATGCCATGTGGATAATCACTAGGTATTACCATTTGAATACAAATACATTGATAAATTTATCCCATAGCTAGTGTTCTTAACATGTTCAAAGTTAGTTATTTAAATCTGAATAACTACTGAAAGAGAAAGTAAGATTAAGTAACCTTCATTAAAAATGGAAACCCATCTTAATATCTAGTGTTATAAACTCAAACACCTTCCCACGAAATAAAGTTAATTCTCAAGGAAAGAAAATTCAAAATGCTTTTATCGTGCTCCTTTTATTACACTCAGTAAACCATCCTTAGTATAAAATGAATGGTTAGCTATATAAATGTAAGACATAACATGAGAAAATCTAGGGGAAAAATCCTCATTTTAATCTGAAACCACAAATATCAGCTCCAGTTAGCCTTAATCAACAACTTACCTACTTTTTTCCTTACACAAAGACAAGCTTGATAATTTAACTCTTCCTAGTTGGTGGTTAAGGCTCTAGAATGTCCTTACTTTTTTTAAAGATCATTTTAAAACCAAAGCATTAATTTGACACAGTAAAAGCACAATACAAAGATCCAAATTTCATATCTGGCCTTTGCTAGATAGAGCTTAAGAATAAAGAAACATTCTTCCCTTTCCTGATAATAATTTAAAATATAAATAATTGTATTAAGTCCCAAGACCCATTGAATAGAGAATGTGAAAGTTCCTGGTATAAAAACTACCTTAGACGTCTGATAGTCATTTCATTCTACAGAGGGACAGAGACTGGATTTTGTTTGCTTTCTGTAATTACTTCACAATCTCCCTCCATTTCAAAATTGAGATTCACAAATGAACTGGATGCCAGTGTTTCTGGTTGATCAGACTGAACAATGGAATCAGCCTGCAGCTTATTTTGTTGGTATTGTCTTTCTGCTTCTTCCGACATTCTATTTTCTTCTTCTTCTTCTTCTTCCTAAAAAGAAGTAACAAGAATAGTTGAAACATAAATGTCCAAATGGAACAGTATTTTTCTCCCACTTTTAGCACCCAGCACAATGAAATATAGCTTAATTGTGCACATCAATCCTAGGAAAATCTAATTACAAAATTCTAAAATATATTCTAATCTGGTAAAGAATGATTAGAACGAAATTGCCTAGTGTAAGGGGGCTATCTCTTGGACAGCTAGAGGATACACGTCTTCATTATGCAACCCATTCAGTCCACAACAAATGAAACTGAATCAAGAAAATGTAAAAAGGAGACATACCTCCTTCTTCATCCGGTAATACTCATCAATTGCATACTGGTATTTTGGGGTGCTGATGCCCAAAACAGATGCAATCTTCTCTCCAAGAAAGTCACAAACTAAAAATATAAAAGTTATTAAAAAAAAATACAAAAGTCAAATGGTTTACATAATTCCATGTACATTTCTTGAGCCCTTTCTATGTGCAAAGCACTTTAGGAATACAAAATTTACAGTCCCTACCCTCAGAGAGATTATCAACATTCAGTACATCTTATCTGTGTATCTTCCTTCATTTCCCCAAGAAACACTAGTGGCTCCTTCTGGGCTCCCAATAACACTGCTGGTAATAAGCAGTCAAACAGAATGAGAACAATGTCAGCGAACCAAATGGCAAAACAGCAAAATAACTGCTAACAGACCTTTTCTGTCCATGTTCACAAACATGAAAAGTGTATCTAAATGAGTATAGCTGTTTTTCAGTCCTTTTTTTTCAAAGCACATCCGGAAGCTAAAGAATGAGTTAAGGTGAAGTATAAGTTAGATTAGTGTCTCCAGTGGTAGCTAGCTAGCTGCTGAGAAGGGCGTGACTAAACTCCCCATTGTTTTTCCTTCATTTCTGAAACACGCTATTTGGCCAAGTTCCTGTTCTGGGAATATATGATACTGGTTATACAACATTCAAACAAAAAAGCAGTACCTGAGAGGGTGGATGTGGCAGCTCGAAGCATGTGAAACCATAAGTAGGGGCCCCACGTAAGTTTTGTCTGCAATAAGAGGCTAGGTTAGCAACCTTCATACTTAAATTTATTCTATTTTTTTGGCCAGGATGAAGCAGTCAAATACTTGGTGGGTACATAGAATATTCTATAGACAGTATAACAAACAGGCTACAATCCAATAAAAAAAATTAAAATCTTTGTAGACAGAATGTCACAAAGACATTTAACATTCACCCATACAACTACCATCACCTTAAGTCCATGGAATAACCCAAAAAAGTGGCAGTCACTGAAATGGAGTTGGTAAGTCACAACCTTGATTATTTACGAACTGACAATCCAGAGCCTTCCTTTCTCCTGTCTTGCTGCCTTTTTTTTTTTCTGTCTTCATTGTTCAGAAACATATCAGAGGGTGTGTGCAGTCAATTAAAAGGGATCTAAGGAATCATACATACAACACACTTCTGGGTTAGTGGTGAACTGAGGTTCAGAGAAATTAAACAGGATAAGTGAGGGCATATCAAATGAACTTTTAATGGTAAGAAAATAAGTACCCAGTAAGTGGCAAGATGAGTTTTTTTGTTAATTTAAGGATTAAAAAGGGACTAGACCATGCAACCCAAGGAAAGTTTAACATAACTGGCAGGCTAGAAACACTGGCAGACTGCAATCCACACTACACACCTCATAGTTAACCTTGGTGCTGTAATTCCATAGAATACTTTTATAAAGCTTGACACATAGATGACAGTTTGCCTCTATGGAGGAAACTGGTCATAGGAGCATGCTTCAATATACCATATTTTTGTTTATGAAAAGAAAACACAGTATAGAGCATAAGCTCTATCAAATACATCAGTCAATGTTTCCATATTGGTTTCTCAGAGAGAAGAAAAAGATAAGCCTTAATCCATAATCTTCTTAGATAAGATATGCTGATGATTATAAGGGCCTTAAAAAATCAAATACAAGGATATCTGTAAGACTGAAAACCACAGACACTAGAAACTGCTTCTTTTCTGTTGGTGAAATGGAAATATCTTCCTTTCCTGATATCTGAAGCTGACAAGGTTGCCAATTTCAGGGTTATTTCCTTTCTTCCTGGTTAAGGAAAAATTTTCACCTGAGGGCTTTCAAAGTCATTTTGGGTGGACACTATCTGTCTAATCAAGTTCTCATGCAAATTACTTTAAAGAATAACATCATATATTTTAAAAACAGATATCTGTAAGCCTGGGCAGACAGGCTAAAGCAGAGGAGGAAACAAAATGAAAAGTAGGTGATAGTATTTTTGAAAGGACGCACAAGTAAGGTAGCTCCTTAGTCTCTCTTTACACAAGAATGGATGTCCAAGCAAACAAACACATTCAAGAAAGTACTGTATATTTCTGGCTCCCTGATAAAATCTGCTATATCTTCTATATTCAGAGCAGAAGGCATTTCTCATGTGGGATAAGGGTTAGTTCAGGGCTCTGTTTAATATGCTCTAACACTAGTGTTTACGTATGTCTTTTACAGCAAGTGGGACAGTGCAGAAATAAAGGGAATGGAACCAATTTCTATAAGACATAGTAAGTGATAGGGCCAAGAAATTACTTAGAAAAAGATTCAGCAAGCTTTGGATGAAAGTACGTATTTCTCACTGGACCAATTCTCTTGAGGTTGTTTCTACAGAAAATAATTGCTAACGTCCAGGCTGTAACTACCAATGGGTCAAATCTGTTCCAGAGCTAAGACACTGGATAAGGGTTCCTGAAAACCATCTATCATTAGCACACGAATTTTTTACAGAATGAATGAATGGGGTGTTTTGTTCAGACACTGACCTAGAGTCTGCTGGAACCCTGCCATCACTACCAGCATCACTACTGCCACCACCATCCCAGTAACAGGAGAACTGGGACAAGATCTAGAGTCTTTAAGACTTCCAGTTTATGGGTGCAAACTCTAGTAGATTCATTCTTTTCTTCAAAAATTTAAGTATCTATTTCTTTCTGAATAATGATCCATCTCTTCCTTAATAAGGAACTCTTAAGCCTTGCTATCTTGGGACTTTCCTGGTGATCTAGTGGTTAAGAATCTGCCTGCCAGTGCAGGGACACGGCAGGTTCAATCCCTGGACGGGGAAGATCCCACATGCCGCAGAGTAACTAAGTAACTACTGAAGCCTGCATGCCTGAGCCCTTGCTCTGGGCGATGAGAAGCCTGAGCACTGCAATTAGAGAGGAGCCCCCGCTCTTCGCAACTAGAGACAGCCCACTGCAGCGACAAAGACTCAGCACAGTCAAAAATTAATTAAAATTTTTAAGACCTTTTTAAACCTAAGCATACATGTGTTTTACAACATTATTACACTTTTTCTATCCTGCTGGTTTTGCCATTTACTATACTGAAAATATTAAGCATATTTCTTAAATGCTTCGATTTCTACAGGCAGAAAAACTAGGCCCAAAATATAATCATTTGGAAAGCTCTCCCTTCACAATGTAAAACTTCACAACAGAAAAGTTACCAATAAATATTCACCAGTAACATATGAGACTGTCCATTCCCTTATACCCTCATTAAAGTATATTGTCCTTTTCCTTTTTATTTATTTACTTTTATTATTTTGGCCATGCCTTGCATCTTGCAGGATCTTAGTTTCCCAACCAGGGATTGAACCCATACCCTTGCAGTGGAAGCATGACCACTGGACCAAGAGGGAAGTCCCACATCCTTTTCCTTTTTTGAAATTTGATAGGCAAAACTGAGCCCAGATAATTTTTAGTTCTGACCATATTATGAAAGGCATCAATCCACTTATATAGGTAGCAATTATGTGCATAATCAAAGTTTTAATGTGTAATAGTTAAATACACATATATATGCATATTTGAGGAACCCTAAGCAAAACTACCACAGGTTAAAGGAATTACTAGAAACACACTTATTCTTAAGACACGTCTAAGGTAAAAATCTGTGGAAATTATAAAAAGACCTAGGTCTCCATTTCTTACTTTCTATCAGGTACCATATGCCAGGAGTATTATTCTTAAATATTTATTTAAAATATCTGGGCTTATCTTTAACTGGGTCAGTTCTACAAATCTTCTATATAAATATAGGCCAATACCTTTCCCAAATTGCTTTGTTCTCAGATTCATGATGCATTAGAAACAAACAGAAAATGGACAGTCTGCTCTTCACATTAAGTGAAGCTAGATCTGTCTTCAGTGATTAACACCTGAGAGGTTAATTGGTACTTTGCTCAAAAAGATAACAAGTTGGTGAGGATGCAGAGAAACTGGGACCCTTAGTTGCTGTTGGTGGGAAAGCAAAATAGTGCAGCCATTATGGAAAACAGTATGGAGGGTTCCTCAGAAAATTAAAAATAGAAATACCATGTGATCTAGCAATCCCACTTCTGGGTACTACCCAAAAGAACTGAAATTAGAATCTCAAAGAGGTATTTCCACTCTCATGCTCCCTGCAGCATTACTGACAGCAGTCACGGTATGGGACAACATGAAGCGCAGCGGCAGTCTAGTCCCGGCCACATTAAGTGACCACTCCACGACTGGGCAGACCTGAAAACCAGCTCAGACTAAGCATGCTGTCTTCCGGTGAAGGAAATACAGACAGGTTTCTTATCACCCAGGTTTCCTGTCTTAGTTTAGGCATAAGAATTCAAACAAATTCCAATGACAACATGTTACATACAGGGTAACTTACAATTTTAAGAATGGATAGGGACTTCCAGCAAAAGAGTAAGAGTAACCCTGAGGACCCACGACCCAGTGAAACTGGTGGAAATTATTTAAAATGAACATTTAAAGCCTTTGGAAATGGCCCTAAGGCTATGTGCCAAAGGAGTAAACTAATCAAGAAAATAAAGGAAAATGAGAGTATGCAGTATGTGAACTAAGATCACAGGCCTTCCCAGCAAAGTAAAATGGAAACTCCACTCCAGACTAGGAACACAGGGCTCCTTCTACCCCCAGCTTCCAACCAGAGGCCTTTCTTTCCAGGAAGAACGGGACATTAACCAGCATTTCTCAACCTGCCCAGAAGCTAGCTATTCCTGAGACTAACTTCCAGGTGAGTGCGGTTGACAGGGGAGGGCTCCCTTCTTCCATCAGCTTCCACTGACATTAACGGAGGCTCTACCTTGAGCATGGTGCAAGTGAGAATGCTGGGGCACTGATCCCAGTCCATTAGCCAGTGGTTCCACGCCAGAAGAGATGAGCCATGACCTGAGGCTTCCACTCCCAACCTCAACTGAACATTCAGCTCCTAAAGTAGGGGGGTCACAGAGAAATGCACTACTATCCCTAGCCCCCAACTCTGGAGCTCTACCTAAGGGATTTTGCCCAGGAGGAAAAGCAGGCCATCAGACAGATTGCTCCTAATTTCTGCCCATGTGAACTAACTTCATCTGCAACAGAAGTGGAAAAGTCCAAGCTTAAGGGTACTCTCAAAATCAGTGAAGATTTTGGTAAAAGGCACTTGGGAAGAAATTCTTCGATTCTATCAAGATACAGGATCAACTGTAGTTGATCAGCTAGTTTGAAGCAGAGAACAGCAAGTGAGGAGGAAACAGAATTAGTTAAAAGAACCCATAAACTGACTAGACAAATAAACAGGCAAATATTACAACAAAATCAAGACCCTGGGAGTGGAGATTTGGGAGGAGGCAGAGGGGTGCACCCAGAGTTATTACAATATATTATCTAAAATGTCTAGTTTCAAACAAAAAAGTATGAGATATGCAAAGAGATAGGAAAGCATGACCCATACACTGGAAAGAAAATAAAAAAGCAGACAACAAAACTACTTGTGAGAGTGACCAGATGTTGGATTTAACAGGAAAACTCAAAGTAGCCTTTATAAGTACGTTCAAAGAATTAAGGAAAACATAGGGCTTCCCTAGGGGGCTCAGATGGTAAAGAATCTGCCTGCAGTGAGGGAGACCCAGGTTCACGGGTTGGGAAGATCCCCTCGAGAAGGGAACTGAAACCCACTCCAACATTCTTGCCTGGAGAATTCCACGGACAGAGGAGCCTAGTGAAATACAGTCCATGGGGTCCCAAAGAGTCGGACACAACTGAGCGACTCACACACACACACACACACACACACGTAAAGAAATAAAGGAAGGTATGATAGCAATATCACATCAAATACAGAGTATCAATGAAGAGATTATAAAATAGAACCAGATGAAAATTCTGGTGTTGAAAAAGTGCAATAACTGAAATGAAAATTTTAATAGACGGAAAAAGAAAGTGACAGCAATGAGGGGAGAAATAGACAATTCAACAATAACAGCTGGAGACTCCAACACTCCATTTTCAATAATGAATAGGGCAACTAGGCAGCAGATCAACAAGGCAACGGAAGACAAAGAACATTATAAAGCAACCAGACCTAACAGACATCTATAGAACACTCCACCTAACAGCTCTTCCACTGCATGAAACACTTCTACAATATTCTGCATGCATTTGGAACTGCCTTCAAAGTATACTTTGTTACAGTCTTTTGAATATTTGCTACAATACAGAATCTGGTTCTGACTTTTTTATTAACTAAAATTTATTTATTAGAACTAAATCTGAAGAAAAACTAGTAATAACATTTTTTAAACCAAATCTAAATGAATAATTCTCTATTCTGCTACTCTGCTTCATTTTCTTCATAGAACTATCCATAGTCTGATAATTATAGTATATATTATTACCCTTCTGTCTACTGGTATAAGAACATAAATTTACAATGCCCATTGCTGTATCACCAGCACCTAAAACAGTACCTTTTAGAAAGTCAGTAAATATTTCAGCAACTGAACTCTCAAAATGACTACTTAGAAGGGCAACATTCCCTTTTTAAAAATGTACGACTAATCGTAATTTTATAGTCACATCTTTTATAGTTTAGAAATTCTTTAGTTCAGCTGGTGAGGAACACAGAGTTAAGAACTATAGACTCCTATCTTCGAATCAAAACTTGAGGCGATATAAAAAAGAAGTGACAACCATCTATAATATTTAATACAAGGAACAGGAATTCAAGCACTCTGCTTAGTGAAGTAAATCTGAAAGAAACCTATCCATGCTGACAAAATTCTGACTCTCAAAAATAAACTATTCACATTACTCAACATAGGAAAGAGGTCTAGCCATACTGTGTAAAAATACTGCTTTCTACCAAAATCATAACACAATGTTATAACCAGAATATAGTTTATTTAAACCTCAAAAGGTTCCTTCCATTCAGTACTTAAGGGAAACAAATCAGTCAGAACAAAACTCACTGACAAAAGGATCATCAGTATCACACCTACCGGATCAACAGTAGGCAAAACGTCTTTCTTCTCCAAGCCATCGACTTCATCTTCATCTGTGCTGTATTCTTCCATTGTTTCACCGCTAACAAAGTGGATGACTCTCCTTGGGACTTTCTTCTTTTTTCCTATGACTCCCAGTTCTACATTTTCAAAGCCTCTTTCATTACTCATCTAATGTCAATAATAAATCAGGAAAAGGAGAGTTTCAAGTGAGATTAATTTTCTTCCATGTAACAACAAAAAAAAATATTTGGGGTTGCTTTATTTAGGGAATAAAGAAATATAAGCCAGTCTATAAACAGTTTTTTAAAAACTAAGACAGGTCACACACACAAAAGAATATCAACAGCAAAAATGAAGGGTTTAACGAACTGAATAATAAAGCAAACCTCTAGCACACTCACCACCAAGGTTAAAAAATAAAACTTAACCAATTAAACTTTTTAAGTCAAAAGCTTAGAAATCAAGCAGCACACTTCAGGTCATAGCAATTCCAATGCTGAATAATATGTGAAGATATGCTGGACATCAATAATTTTAAAGAATTATAAAGGAATTAATGTGCAATATCAAAGGAAAATCATACAGATACATATACATATGTTAGATATGTAATATAAAAAAACAGTTTGTATTAGACAACCCTGGTAAGTCTTTAGATTTGAGTTAAGCTATGTGTGAGCAAACCAAAACCAGTTCAGCTTAATTCTGAACCTCTCCTTTTCTCAAAATGGAAGTCCCAAATTCAAATGCCTTTTAGGTCCAAGCAGGTTCCAAAAATGAGTAAATACTGCTAGAGATGAAGAGTAGAGCTTTAAACAAAAGCATGCCCCAACTAAAGACATTAAAATTGAAAAACTTTAAAGCACCATGCAGGCCAAATAAAACTCATTTGTAAACCAAATCTGGAAAACAGGCCATCAATATTCTATATGAGAACTTCCAGACTTCTCAGTCACTAATATATACAGGACAACAGTTTTCCTGATAGTAAAAATATTTTTACAAATTTTAAAACTATAATAGTCTAAGGAATTCTAATTATATCCAAATTTCATTCCTAAGGAAACACTAATTTTACCTCATACATACGGCCAATGTTCCAAAACTTAGAGCAAACACACTTTGTGGGAGAGGATGAAGAGCTTTTCCTTGTCATCTTGTCCCAAGTTTAAATTCCTAAGAAAGCCTCTCTTGTATCTTCTTAATAAGAGATTTCAAAAAGCACAGCACAAGTAATTGTAAAGAAAAATCTGACAACACTGGTTACCCCTCAGGTCAGGTACAAAAACGGAGAAGGAGATACAGGTGAAGGAACGGTCAAGTGGGCTTTTTATGCTTTGTGTATTTTGTTGTTGTTTTATTTTCGTGATGAGAATATGTTCATGTATTACTGGTTCAAATTTAAACCTAAACCAAAACCTAAACCTAAAATGACTACCATGCTTAAGACTTCAAGTTGGTGGGACTGTCCAGGAGAGTACAGAGTTCAAAAATTTCATCCTCTATAAGGATTCTTTGTGACCCCAAGGACTGCAGCTTGCCAGGCTTTTCAGCCCATGGGATTTCCCAGGCAAGAATACTAGAGCGGGTTGCCATTTCCTTCTCCAAGGGAGCTTCCTGACCTAGGGATCAAACTCACATTTCCTGCATTGGCAGGTGGATTCCATCTGCCAATGCAGGAGATGTAGGAGACACGAGTTTGATACCTGGATCAGGAAGATTTCCTGGAGGAGGAAATGGCAACCGTCTTCAGGACAGGCCACAGTCCACGGGATTGCAGAATGTCATATGTGACTGAGCAGAATGATAAGGATTCTTATGGTTGGAGATATGCCAACACATAATTTAAACCCATGATTGTTGTTCAAACCAAGAAAAGTTTTTTGAATTGCACCTGCAAAGAGATGGAGTTGCACTGATAAAATAATGGACTTGCCCAGAATTGCCCAGTTATGCAAGTATAAGTAACTTTATTCTTATGAATTATTTCCTGTTAACCCTCTAAAGTCCTTCTTAGAAAACAGATATGGTTCTTCTCTTTCCTTCACTTTCCAAAGGTAAGTTTAGTCATAGGCCAGTATTTGAATCCAGGTACATCCAACCCAAAGAACCCATGCATTGTTCCATGACTCACGTGAACATCACTGACAGCAACTATAACTGGTACAGAGCAAACGGAGATAAAAACCTTGACAGCATGGCCTATCCATAAAATAACCTGAAAAAACAAAACTAAAATTCTCCCTAGCTGTCCTGGGGTTTCAAATATATGCTAGTCCTCAGTAAAGGAAAACCACCCCTTTATAGTGCCCATAAATAAGACAGACAACAAATGGCCCACCCACACCATCGTTCTTCTATCACCAATTCCTAAGCATGGTGAGCCATTCCCACCTAATCTCATTTTTTCCCCCTTCATATGAAATTTGGTTTATGCTTGTCCTGACACCAATGTCTCCTTTTGGACCAAGACTTTACAGGCAAGGAAAAGTCAGAGGAGCTGGGTTAGATCTCCAGTCATCATATGAATTGGGTGGATCTGATGCTAAAGCACCAGTCCCAGTCAATGAACAGATATGAGACCTTTTGTAGTTCATCATCATGCCTTATTCCACCACCACCCCACCCCCATCAGAGCTGAAGAAGCTTTTCATTCTCCCTCTAGCAATCTCTCATTGGTTTAAGTTTTCTTTTCTAAGACACAGGCAAAGGAGAAAGGGTGTCTCTCACTGGTTTAACTATTTTGTCTTCTTTAGACAGCTTTAATGAATAAAAACACTCTGGCTGGGTCATAATAACTGGTATAAATTTATCTACTAACTCCATTAACTGACTCTTGGCTATATTTTTTTCAAAAAGATAAAAAAAAAAGCTACAAAGAGGAAGGCTAAAACATGATTCACATTTTCTAATTCTAATGCCAAAGTTAGTTAAGTACAAACAGAACTTTGAGTAATACTCTATACATAATATGAAATTTCAAAAGGCATTTATTTATTCTAATCATCACATTCCAAATAAAGATCTTTATTAAAGAGATTTTCATTTAAGTTTTCTTTTAAAATTTTAATATTCATTTTTGATACAGTAAAACCCAAGCTTTAGGTATAGCAGCTTGAACAGGTATGAGTAAACTTTTCCCACAAAGGAGAGAGAGTAAATATTTTAGGCTCTGAGAGTCATGTAATCTCCATCACAATTACTGAACTCTGCAAAAGCAGCCATGGACAACACATAATGAATGGGCTATGTTCCAATAAAACTTTATACAAGTCAGTGGCTGGTGGGATCTGGCCCACAGGCTATAGTTTGTCAATCCCTCATTTTAAGGAACCAGATTATCAAGTAGAAAAAAAAACCTGTGAAAGAACCTATGCCATGTGATTCCAACCTCTGCTTGGCAAGGACGTGGGGCAGGAGTTAGTTAAGGAAGATACTGATAGGTAAAACCAACCAGAAAATAATTTGATTCAAAATTTCCAACAATTATGAAAGCTAGTCTCTGAATTTGCAAAGGTTTCATTTTTACAGATAAACAATAAGCCTGCTGGTAAGAAAATTGTCACTGGCAACTACACAAACTCCATTTCAACAAATGCCAATGATCTGACAAAACAATTTTCTAACACCAGGAAATTATGAACTGCAATGTCAATTAACATTTTATTATCTTTCATGGTTAACCGTACTGTTTACATCTGCTTATCTTGTTTCCTTGGCCTTTTTTCAACAGCAATTGTCTTTTTATATATTCCCATAGTACCCAGAACTTCTTAAAAACATGTATTACGCTTGGAATTGACTCTGCATCATCTTCCCCACATAGGCGATCAGCACCATGGAAGTAGGCACAGTGTGTATCCTTCACTGCTACATCCTTTAGCCTACAGTTCCTGGCACATCGTGCTTGGCAGCTAGGGTGCTAATTAAACAAATGAACAAGTAGTATTGAAATTTTAACTTCTTTAATAATACTGAAGCTGAGATTCTGCTTAAAAGTCTAGTCGAAGAAGATACTGAATGGCCTGGTTTGAAACCTAATTCTAAACACAGACCCAAGCTCCTATCTCTTACTTCCTTCCCGACATGGCCCTTGGGATTTCTCAGTTCTGACAAGCAGAGGATGGCAGGCTTTCCTTCCACCCAAGTCTCCACCTCCGTGGCCTCTCCCCTCTTCCTGTGGTCAACGGGGCACAGATCTGGGTTCCCGGAAACATCTCTGCTACAGGAATGTGCATGAGAAAGCACAAAGGAAAGTTAGAAAACTGTGTGTATATATGAACCCTCTTGTGTATAACAAGATTCTATATATGCACAGGCAGTCCCAGAAAGAATACACCAGAAATCTAACAGTTACTTTTGGGGAAAGTGAATGTGAGAAACGGGTGATAGGAGGATCCCTATGATTTTTTCCTCTTTGCTCTATGGGCCTTCTTTACGTTTGAATATTCATTTTATTATTTTTTTAACCAAGAGTGCAAAAATAACATAACAGTACTAAGTTGCAACAAACAGCCTCTCTTCCAACAACATTTATCTGGTAAATCAGTATAGGTATGTATACTTTGCTACTAGAGAGATTCAAAGCTGAAATCGTGATGAAAACAATTCCAGTAACAGGAGGTAAAATCAAATGGAAAACACATCAAACACTGGACTAAAAGGGTCAGCTCAAGTATACCTCCTGTCACCAAGAGGTCTCGACTCAACTGAACATGACAAGTGGCTTTGTAACCATTTAGCATTACCCTGAATTGCTTCTTGCAGGTTACCTTCCCCCTTCCTAAGCAGGAGAAAAAACAACTCCATATACAGTCTAGTCTCTGGACAACTTTTTGTTAATGCAAACTACTTATAATATTAGAACAAACATTTGGGCATCATTCTCCAGGAATCTGTAGTTTGGGGGAAATGTCTTACATTCAGGTAGTTATTCTTAAAAATGAAGCCACTCAAACGCTCTGCTCTCACTGAGGATGGGAAGATTTTACACAGAAGCAACTCAGGTTTTTAACATCAAAAAACAGTGTACTCCGGGGCTGGTTTCTCCCCTGGAGTGGGAAATGGCAACCTGCCCCAGTATTCTTGCCTGGAAAATTCCATGGAGAGAGGAGCCTGTCCATGAGGTCCCAAAGAGGTGAGCACGACTCGTCACACTACTGAGCACCCAAGCTGGTTTCAGTTAAAGGCATTCCTTCATTAGCTTTACTTGGCCAAAGATTCTACTACTACTATTTCAGACACGAAATCCAAAACAAAACAAACCTCAAAACCTTACCTAATGCTCTAAACTTATGCTATTCAATACATAAGTTAACCACGTGTGGCTAAGGCTCACTTGATATCTGGCTAGTTCAAGCGGAGACGTGTTGAAATACACAAAGGATTTCAGACTAGCACAGACAGACAATGAAATATCTCAGTGGTAACTGTCATATAAATTGCATGTTAAGGTTTTTTTTTTTTTAACAAACTGGGCTAAATAGAATATAAAAATTAATTTCGCTGGTTTCTTTTTAGTTTTTAAATGAAAATACAACTTACAATGCAGATAGCATTATGTCTATTGGACAGCGCAGCTCTGGGCCTTAGTCACCTCGTTGGTGAAATGGGGATAAACGTACACCTTGGGCACAAGTAATAAGGATTAAATGGGGGGTGGGGGGAGCCTTAAACACATATTGAAAGTGAAAGTGAAGTCGCTCAGTCGTGTCCGACTCTGCGTCCCCGTGAACTGTAACCTACCAGGCTCCTCCGATCATGGGATTCTCCAGGCAAGAATACTGGAGTGGGTTGCCATTTCCTTCTCCAAACCTAGCTGCTATTTGCTAACCATAGGGCAGATGCCGAGTAAGGCGCTCCCAAAAGGAGAGACTGAGAAGTGACTGTAGCCATCGTCACCCGGCTTCCAGATACTCCAAGGACAGCCTTTCAGGTACACGCCTTCCTTCTAGCTACCGCAGACCCGAAGCCGCAACCTCACCCCGCGACACTCGAGGCCTCCCCGGAGTCTGCGGCGCTGCCAGCGGAGGGGTTGCCCAGCTGCGCCGCGACTAAAGGGGCGTTCGCCGCTTCCCTCCAGCCGATGCTCAGAGGCAGGGACACCGTGAAGAGCTCCATACGGAACCTCCGGCGGACGGCCTGCTCGAAGGAAGGCCGGGCAAGCCAAAGGGCAGGCGGCGGACTAGGCAGACAGGAGGCGGGGCTCTCTGGCCTCACTCAGCCTCAGCGCTGTCGCAACCCTGGGCGGCCCCACCTACCTGCTGTGCCGATTCCCTGAACACCGCGGCGGCCGCAGCTCCCGAGGCATTCACGGCTTCTCCCTCCGCACGGTTCGCTGGCTCCCGCTCCATCGTTGTCGCCGCCACAGGACTGCTGGCGCTGGCGAGATACAAGGTTACGGCAGATAAGCCCACTTCCATCCTCCGACTCACCGCCCAGCTGCGGACCAAGCCAGAGGTCAGGAAATGGGACTCACCGGCAGGGCCCGCCTAGCGCCGCGCCCCGCCACGCCTCGGCGGGAGGGGCGGGGCGGGGGAGGCCTTGGGGTGGGGCTTGTGTGGGGCGGGGCTAATGGTGCCCCGCCCATCCGGCTCGGCACCCCGGGCTTTGCCAGCAACGGCCTAGACTACACAACTGCGGGGCGGGGCGAGGCGGGAAGAGGTGGGGCGGGGCGATCTGCTGTAGCGTTTCCGGCCCGGCCCAGGTCGGGAGCTCGCCTCCTGGCACCACCAGTGACGTCATGTCTCGTACCTGTACCGGGAGCCTGGCTTCGGGATCTTCACGCAGCCTCTCACCAACTGCGTCCCGGGCAGTCATTCCCAGACCTTGGTTTCAGTACTGCTGAAATATGAGCAGCTTCGTAGTGTGCTTCAGAGACTTGTGGTGAGATGTGATTGCTGAAAATACGTTTTTAAATGAAAGGTTCATGCTACGTATTCCTCTTATGGATGACAATCTAGCCAAGATAACCTTGAAATAAGAGCCTCGAAGGCGAATTTTGCTTCTACCTATATGAAATACTTTATATGTAACTAGAAAAGTTAAGTGAGACCTGAAGAAGAGCAAAGGGCAGTAACAAGCTTCTATTTTACAATAATAAATGTGAGGAATAATTTATTTTCTGTTTAGGTGTATGTATGTTTGCAAGAGGGAAACTTTCAGACTTTTTCAGTTTTTCCCAGTGTTCAACCAAATTAAAAAGTTATGATTGCAATCATTATTGCATTACTGTAGTTGGAACATTTCCAGGTAAGTGGTCTTTTATTATAGTTTTTTAGTATGAGAATTTTCATGCAATTTTCACCAGTTGTAGAGGTCAAAAATAAAATACACTATTTTGGTCATGAAGAGGAGCTTCATTTGATACTTTGAATTCTATTTTCGAGCCAGTCAGATTTCATAAATACTCCCCAAAGTTATGGCCTAGCTTATCTTCTGTGTCTGCAGACCCAACACCGCTACAATCTTAGTTACTCCTTTCTCTCCTATGCAAAATTCTTTTTCTGCTTAATATTCTTGTATACTTTCTATCCTGACTATAACTATGGCGACCTAAAAACCAAATTGAAAACCTTAAAAACAGAAGTTGATTATTTGACAACCATCTATATTTTTTTAATTAGATGGAAAGTCATAATCTATTGTTGCTAAGGTACACAAGTGCTGTCTAGTGGCAATAGGAAGGGGTTGAGACAATCCAAAACATCAAAAACAAACTGCAATAAATTGAGAAGAAAAATAAAGAACCAGTTGTTAAAGGCTCCATGGATTGGCTGTCAAAAACAAGCCAGTTGTTCTACATTACATGTATTCAAAAATCCCTTTCCTGTTAACTGGCAAGAAGGGTAATAAACAGCTTATATAATTGAAAAAATTAGTGGGATGTTTATAATTGCATGATTTTATTTTGCAAATTGCCAATTAAACATCCAATCATGATTTTCACTGCCAGCCACAGAACTTGTTTTCATGGTTTACAAGTACATTTCTTAGTTTACTGAAAATTCAAAACACAAGTCACATTCCAAGATGATCTAGAATAGTTATTTTTTAACACAAATATGCAATTGAAGAGCAGTCTTTTGCAAAAAAAACAACTTATAGAAACAGAAAAGCACAGAGATTCTAATGGTTTTATTTGGGGCATTGACATTTTTGTCATTATCTCCAGACTGTCATAGGTCAACTAAAAGTAGACAGCAAAACAACATTCCAAACTTTCTTTCACTTTGTAATATAAGTTGTATTGTATACCTGTGACAAAAAGATAAATTCAGGTATTACTATAATTTACTTGAAAATATAACTGTTACCTAAATTTAGTTATCTAATGATGCATGTAGAGCTAAAAAGGTAAATTTAGTTATACCTATTTCTATGAAAGACTGGGAAAACAAAAATTCAATAACCAGGAGTGTCCATCAGATAAAAAACAAGACTTTTCATGGTTTTGACATAGCTACATATATATTTTAGTAAAGAATATTTTTAACGTTATCCCATTCTTCAAATAGGAAGTTATAGTTTCATAATCAGTCATGCACAAGAAAAAATGTTTAAAAGGTGTTAAAAATTAAAATGCACTTTTTTGATTTGAAGCAGTGGCCACTCCTGATTTGGTGAATTTGGTGAATAATCGCTCTAAAACAATCCTACACACAGAAATGCAATACCACTAAAATCATGAATTTGCAGCTGCAGCATCTGACCACTGCCACTCAACAGCCACCTCAACAGAAAGACCAAAATTCTCTCCAGGGTTCCTTTCAAGGCTAGGTCCCTGCCTCTATTATAATCAGCCTGGCCACTGGAAGGGTTACCCCAAATTAAAAAGAAGGCCTTATTCGCAGCCCAAAGCTACTCTCGGACCCTTTTCATGAACGTTCTGAGAAATTTGAAAAGCACCTCCCTTTTGTAAACAAACACTCATGAAGTTCTGAGAAAAGTTTTGGAGTCTTTCCAGTACTCCCACTAACACCATTGGGAGAGCTGGATCTTCTTTTATAGGAGTGAGGCTATTACCACTCTTGTGTCTTGAACCCCACCAGCCTTCAGACCCTCTTCCTTAGAGTGCCAGAATGGTCCAAATGGTGTGAGTTCCAAACACAGTTGTGAAGGTAATTCAGTTGGCCCCCTTGCCTTTTGAGATAGGTTCTTTTCAGGGAACTCATTAGTTACTTCTGTCCCTGTACACTTTTTGGGGCCAAGACCTCCTGAAAAAATTACACGTTAATATTTCCTTTTCCCTAAAAGGAGTAATGCACTTTTATTTTGACTCCTCAGAGTCTACCTCCAACTCTTGTCCTGATATTGAGATTCCCCATCACAAGGATTTGTTAGATTCTATTCCTTCTACATTATGGTCTATCTCTTCAAACAACATTGAACACATTCATTCAGACAGTCGCTCAGTTGTGTCCGACTCTTTGCCACCTCATGGACTGCAGTACAGCAGGCTTTCCTATCTATCATGAACTCCCAGAGCTTACTCAAACTCATGTCCATCAAGTCGGTGATGCTATCGAACCATCTCATCCTCTGTCGTCCCCTTCTGCTCACCTTCAATCTTTCCCAGCATCAGAGTCTTTTCAGATGAGTCAGTTCTTCACATTAGGTGGCCACAGTATTGGAGTTTCAGCTTCAACATCAGTCCTTCCAATGAATATTCAGGACTGATTTCCTTTAGGATGGATTGGTTGGATCTCCTTGCAGTCCAAGGGACTCTCAAGAGTCTTCTCCAACACCACAGTTGAAAAGCATCAAATCTTTGGCACTTTATTGTCCAACTCTCACATCCATACATGACTACTGGAAAAACCAAAACTTTGTCTCTGCTTTTTAATATGCTGTCTAAGTTGGTCATAACTTTCCTTCCAAGGAGCAAGCGTCTTTTAATTTCATGGCTGCAGTCACCATCTGCAGTGATTTTGGAGCCCCAAAAATAAAGTCAGCCACTGTTTCCACCGTTTCTCCATCTATTTGCCATGAAGTGATGGTACCAGATGCCATGATCTGAGTTTTCTGAATGTTGAGTTTTAAGCCAACTTTTTCACTCTCCGCTTTCACTTTCATCAAGAGGCTCTTTAGTTCTTCACTTTCTGCCGTAAGTGTGGTGTCATCTGCGTATCTGAGGTTACTGACTGGACTTCCCTGGTGGCTCAGACAGTAAAAGCATCTGCCTACAATGCAGGAGACCTGGGTTCGATCCCTGGGTTGGGAAGATCTCCTGGAGAAGGAAATGGCAACCTATTCCAGTACTCTTGCCTGGAGAATCCCATGGACAGAGGAGCCTGGTAGGCTATAGTCCATGGGGTTGCAAAGAGTCAGACATGACTGAGGTTATTGATTAGGTGCTATCAATTAAGATCCAGGTAGATCCTAATAAACCTTTGCCTCACCTCAGACAATACTCTCTCAGGCCTGAGGCCCTTGAAGGATTTCATCCAACTGTCAAGGCACACTTCCAGAAGAGACTCATCATCCCACACACCAGTCCCTGTAGCCCACCAGTCTTTCCCACAGGCAAGTCTCATTCCTGAGGCTGGTATTTTGTTCAATATCTCTAAGCCATAAATAGTATAGTCATACCACATCACCCCATAGCCCCCAACCTCACAGCATACTCAATTTAATCCCTCTGAGCACACAATTCTTTACAGTTATAGATTTATGTAGTGTTTTCTTCAGCCTTCCATCCAGATAGCCAGTACCTGTTTGCCTTTACTTGGGAAGGACGTCATTATACTTGGATCATTATGCCTCAGGTCTACACAGAAAGCCCTACTTACTTTTCACAGAGAGTGAGAGGAGACTTGGCCAGTGTGAATTTTGCCCACAGCTCTACTTTTCTTCGATATGTTGATGACCTTTTGTTATGCTCTGCTTCTAAGGAAGCATGCCTCAGGGACAGCCTGTCCTTCTAACTCAGCTAGCACACAAAGGCAGATGTCTCAAGGAGAAAGTTCCAGTTTATTCACACCCAGGTAAGTTACTTGAGTCATGCATCAAGGGCACATCTCAGTTTCCCACTTCCTCCTACCAAGTGCCATTTGAGTTGCTTTTTTGGACTAACAGGCTATTGCAGAGTTGGGTTCCTAATTTCCTCTTGTATGCACAAAACCTTTTTCCCTGCTAAAAGGCAGAGGCCCAATCCTCGTTTGGAATAATGAGGCTGAATCAGCTTTTCAAACTTTAAATGTTCAGTTGGCCACAGCCCCTGCTGTAGGGCACCCTATTTTCTTCCCTTTCTGCTATTTGTTCATGAAGTTATTAATAACACGAAACACGCTTGGAGAGCTCATTCAGTCCCATGGGGGAAAACAGAGATCTATTGGCTTTTAGGGCCAACAGTTGAAGCCTGTAGGTCAAGATCTTTCACCTTGCCTCCAAGCAATAGCAGCCAGCACTGCCATTCTGCAGGTTATAGAATAGACAGTTTTGAGGTCTCCCTTATGGACTTTGTCCCTTAACTAGTTGAGGCACTCCACACACTCTTATCTG